GTCTTGTGCTGTTCTTCGAGCGTTTATTTTGTCGATAGCACGGATTTGTTAGCTGGGAGGATTATTCCTGACACATGTTCTGTCCCATGTCTTACACAAGAATATAAAGTAAACTTGATCTGTATGTGTGTAAGGATGTGTGCCCATGCAGTATGTAAAATAATAGAGGTGTTCAAGGCGCCCTAGCACCCCGTTGTGATGCTGCCCTCGTCAGTGGGCAGCTCTCCTCAAGGCGAGCCCTGCTCCCGTGCAGGGCAGCTGTTGTTCCCTTGTGTTAGGGAATGGAGGGACAGCACTGGCAAGCAAATGCTTATATTGTGTTCTCTGCAGAGAAAACTGTGCTGCCAGTGGGCTGTGATACAGCTGGAGCAGTTGCTGTGGCAGCCCGGTCCTTTTTTTAGACCCAGGCTGTTGTTAGGAACTGCAGCGCTTGCTAACCACGTGTGGACGTGCATTTTAAACTGCCTGGTGCCTGGCTGCAAGGAGCAGCCTGCAGCGATAAGCCAGGAGCCCACGGAGGCTCTAGGGGCTGCGCGCCCACCCTGCAAAGGAGGGAGCATCCTGCCCTCTCTGCCCTCAGTAACTCGAGCCGTGTCCTCAGGAGGTGGAGCGCCAGGCACGTCTGCCCTGCGAGCTCAGCTTGAGCTACACAGCTGCCTGGATTTGAAACTAAAGCCAAAAGAAACCCCTCAGACCAAACCGTAATTGGTTTCAACAGCTAGTCTGGAGATTTTGGAGATACTGAAGGGACTGGGAGAACAGAAATTGTGCCTGAAAAAGGGAGGAGGAGGAGTGCGAAGCTGCATCTCACCGTACACAGAAAGGCCTTAACAAGTTTGATAACCTGTTCTGACTTGACACTACCTGGGAACAGTCAGGCTGCAGGCTCATACAAAGGAGCCGTTCATTTCCTAATAATACTACTGAGCTCTTAATGGAGTGAACTGCAGCTGGGAAAGATGGAAATGGAATTTTGGAGGCTACAGCAATCAAATGCTCTCATGGGCAGCTTAACTCTAAGTCATGTATTAGAGAAGAAAATGTAGTGCATGCGACAAGAAGAAATATTAAAACATTCTGTTTATCTGCCAAGTTAATCTTTTCAAATTGCTCAGTTTTATGCTTAGGAAGGAAAGAGGAAAACTTTTTTCAATTCATAGTAAAATGCTCAAGGCTTTCTCCTTTCTAGTATATTGGCAATCACCTATGATTCCTTAGACAAGTGATCCTGAAGAGTGCATCATTGAGCAGCTGCTGCTGCTTAATTATATGTTTGGGAAAACTAAGTACCATAAATTTGCTGTTGTTGCACATGTGAGGGAAGCCAAAATTTGAGACTCACCATCTAGATGATGATTTTTGGTGGAGTCAGCTCAGGAGAGCAAGTGAGGCCGGGCAGTTTGTTCATCAGCCACTACAAGCACTGTGTGTGGTTGCTTGTGATTGCTGAGTCGCTCACAAAATCAGAGAAAAGAATCCATAGATGGCTTCAAAAATTGAAATAGCCCAGTTGTGCCATGCTCAGCTTTCCAGCAGAGTTGAATTGGGATGAATGGGACTCTGGGGGAATTACTCTGGGGAGTAATTCGGAAGGCTCCGAGTCCTGTTTGTCCCAGGTGCCCTGTTCCACCATGTCCTCTAGTTTGGAGCATATGGCTTAACACGTTCTGTCTCATTTTTGAAAGGTACCTCACTTGACTGGAGATAAGATTTTGCATGAGAGAGAAGTTGAAATTATATATGGTGGGGAGAAAGATGGTACCCAATTCTTCCTGTTTTTCGGTGTATAAAACAATTGTGTTTTTTTCTTTTTTTCTTTTTTCCCAAAAGGGACACCATTTGTGAGTACTGTGTCAGTATTCCCTGTGGGACTGTGGGTATAGTTGTTAATTTTGATTAGGTGAACATTTTTCTTTATATTGCTTCCTATTATGCAGGACAGTGGTTTTTTTTGTTTGTTCGTTTGTTTTTTTTTTAAGTGCATATCTAATTCCCACTGACAGCAACTTCTGCATGGCAACCAGAAACAGACTGCTGTGAAATAATGCTGGTAGTTCCCTTTTGCTTTTAGGGAGACAGGCTTTGCTCCTGTGAAGCTAACATGGAAATGCACTCACCTCGTGTGCTGTCAGCAGCAGTGGGTGGGGGATAGAGAGAAAATGTGGATGTAGACAAGAAAGCTTCTCTTCCAGGTACGAGCATATGATGTAACAGCAGTGATGCATGTTTTGTGGATTGCTGCTCTTAGCAAATGTGAGGACCAACATGAGGTTTTGGCAAGAGATAACAGGAGAAATAATTTTCCTTGGCATAAAACTCTTTTAGAAATTGGTTGTTTTTTATCTGAAATAACATTTGAGAGAATGGCTGTGCTTTCTGGGAACTTAAGTCAGCCAAGAGGAACAGGAGAGTTTTAATACTGTTCTGAAAAGCAGTGCCTTGCTAGACATACAGTGCAGAATCTTGTAAAAATAACTCTAGTGAGATTTTGCTCAAGTCCTCATGGCTTAAGGACAAAGGCAGAGTGCAGCTTAGGAGTGCCATGATTTTCAAAGTCATCCCGGTCCACACTTTTCCTCCCCCCTGACCTGTGAAGATGTATTTTTTTGAGGACTTTTAGTGGTATTTATTTTGGTTTTGAGTTCCAGGTGTGCCAGCAAAGTCAGTCTTGGAGGTAAGTGGGTAGGTCTCCCATTGTCACAAGAAGTCAGACTCACCCCTTGCGCGTTGCCGGGTTAGGTAACGGAGCGACCTTTCCACGGGGACCTGGGGCTCGGCTCCAGGGCGCTTTGCTGCGGCTCCCACCGTGTGTCTGCGGTAGGACCGCTGCCCTGCGCAGCATCCAGCGAGTCTGGGAAGGGAAATTGTAATTGCTCTGGCTTTGCAATCCGCTCTTGTGACTCGTAGATTTGGGACATTGGATCAGGAGACTTGTATGGTCAGTGTCTGGTAGAATGGAGCCAAATCTAATTACACCTGCGGCTTATGAGGCTGGTTTTCAGGGCAGAAGAGAAGCCATAAAATGCTTATTTTTTGTTCTTTTTTAAAAGTGGGAAAATTCATTGAGGTTAGTGCAAGTTTCACAGCGTGTCTTCAGGCTGGGGCAGACATGATTTGAGTTAAACTGCAGGCAGTTTGGTACCAGTCTGCATCCTTAGACCAATGAAAGCATTTTTGGGAGGGACTCTACCCGAATTATTGCCCCGATAACGGTTGCAGCGGATTAGCTGAAAGCTCCAAATAACTATGGAGAAAGAATATGTGCTGTGAGCAGAAAGATGATTTATCGCAGAGCCCCTGTCCATGCTGCTGCTGGCAGGGGTGGCGGTTGCTCCCAGCCAGTTGCTGGTTGGGTCCTTCTAGCAGCAGTGTTTGGAGCAGCAGAAGCAGCAGCCGGGAATGGGAGCAAAGCGGATTCCCTCGTTTTGCTTGGGAAAGGCTCTTGTCCTCACTGAGGACGACGACAGAGTCACGTTGGCTCTGCTTTTTGTAAAATGGACACCACAGAAAATGGCTTGAGGCGTCATGTCTTGTGCTGCCTAGGGAAATGCCTTAGAAATGACATTCTCAGAAAAGTGAAACAACTCCTAAAAGTTGTTTTTTTTCAGCTTTTTATGGATTCTGGTGAACCTGTAAAACTCAATGTACCACCCAGGAGGAATTCTCTAGGAAGACTGATAGATTCTTGGATTCTTTTTATGTCTTTCCTCCCCCCAACTCTGATATGAGCGTGTGTACGTATATAATATAAAAAACTTCACAAGCAATTTTTGATAATTTCTTTCTGTATGGTAAGCTTAAGCATTTAGAGCTGGTGCCCGGACTTTGTCTAGAGAAGCTGATAATATTAGAGTTAAATCACACAGTGATGATGAAATCAGTGTTTTCCTACTAGGTAAGAGTGCATTCTGCACAAGGAGTAGCTCTGAACTTGGCCTGTGTAGTCAGGCTTTATGGATGGGCAAGAGTGCAACACGTGGCTCTGTCCCGATGCAGAGGATCTTTGCCTTAGGGCAGTACCGTGCAGCAGCCACACACCTGCTGGTTTAGGCAGAGGTGGCATGTAAGGTACTACCTGAGGGCAGGCTGAGATGCCTTTGATGTATGTAGGGATTTACTTCTCTCTAGCTCCTCTTGCTGAGCCTCTGTGCTACGGGATAGAGACAGTTCCCAGTGTTTGTTTTGCTCTTGCTTCTATGGACGCAGAGGCAGGTGGGCTGCAAAGCAGCCCTGCCAGGAGAAGCCAGGGCTGATACGGTGCAGTGCGTGGCCCTGGGGCCGCCAGGATGAACGAACAAGTGCTGAAGGAGAGGGTGAAGCCCTCAGCTGGTGATACCTCAGCTGGTATCTCTAGTTTGTTTATGCAATTGCCTCTGTTTTATTATTTTTGGCTGCGCTAGTTAGTGGCATGTGGAGGGGAACAGAGCTTTTGGAGCGACTTCTTATGCCTTCCTTGGCTAGGAAAGCCGTGGGTTTATTTTTCTTGACAGTTTTATAATCTCTGCAAAAAGATAAAATAAATTAGATGTTTGACACTTTCCTCGGTCTCGCCAGTGTAGCATTATTGAAGTCAGTGGGGCTTCATCCAGGCACACTGGTTCTACCAAGTCTGCAGGCGTAGCTTTAGATTGTCACGAAAGGCAAACTAAAAAGTGTGTTTTGAGCTCAGTGGTAAAGGAATGGACGCTTGTTTTCCTTCTGGAACTTGGTGATATGGCTCGAGGGAATTTTGCGTTTTTCCTTTTTCTTAAAATGTGGCTATCTTGCTAATGAAGTGATTACTGGTGCTTTTTAAAGATCTGCAATGTATCATATAAATATCTTCTGTTTTGATAAAATTCTTAAATGTTTTGTAAATTACAAAAAGTTTCAGAAGTATAGTAACAAAGTGCACTGACCTTGTTTTCTTTCTTTCTTTTTTTGTTTTTGCTGCCTTCTCTTATGTGGATGGTGTTTTCGTGTTTCTTTCCTCGCCACTGCTGACTTCTTCCATCACCTAGAAAACCACCGAAGGTAGGTGTTTGGCTTCTTGTGTTTGCACGTGCTTTAAAGATGTTGAGCAGTGCAGAAGTGTCTGGAGTGTTACATTAGTGGATGACAAATACAGCTTTGATAAAGAAAAACACCTAATCTATTTCTCAATGTCTGACTTAAAGACTTAATTCCAAGGCTCTATTTTAATCAAACTGACCTTTTAAAGCTAAGATGAGGACAAATCATGATTTAAATGCATTTAGAAAAAACCTTTGAAAGAGCAAGCAAGCACTGAGTGTAAAGCACATCATTGTACATAAATCTGCTTGGAAATAATGTTGTTTTAAAGAGGTGGTGAAACACATTTAGTAAAAACCGAACTGTTCTTGGTTGTAATTGATGACATTCTAGAGTTAATAATTTGTGTGTGAGTGACTTAGGGGCACCAGAAATTTCCTAGAGAAGATTCCCTGTAGTGTGTGTCATGTGGGAGAAAGGAAGGAAAATGTAATAGGAAAAATGCTTTTTCTGTGTATTGGGGCAGAGACTTGGGAGCCATGCTGAGAAATGTGGTCAGTACAATGGTAGCAATGCTGAGATAAAACAGCTGCATAAGCAACACGTTCAAAACAGCCTATGATCTGGTGTTTCAGCAATTTAATGATAGTCATGTCCTTTCTGTTGGCGTTGAATGTCACTTTTTATTTTGGGGAGCTGTGGTTTTGCCATGAATGAATTTTTATTTTCTTTGAACTGTGGTTCTACAAGGAAGCCTATAGGTGCAACTCTGAGATTGCTTCTGCAGAGTATTTTATAATGGCCTCTGGGAAGAGAAATTGGGAGTGTGTGTGTGTATAAATATATTTGTAAATATATGTAAATATATTTACATATATATACACACACATTTATGCACATGCCTCTTTCAAACTGGTGTGCAAAGCATCTGTGTGAACCATAAGATGAAGTGTTTTAATTTGGTTCCGTTGAAGTGTCGGGAAAAATTCTTCTCATTAAATAATGTGTTTTGGTCCTTACTAGCAGAAAGGAATGGAAAAAAATTTTTTTACATAAATTGAAATAATCATATTGAAAAAACATAGTTTGAGGTCAAGCAGATAGAAATAAATAGCATGGCCAAATCAATTTTGAATGCTATACTGATATTTTTCCAAGAACCTTCCTTTTCTGTACTATCCAATTCATATTCTCTTGTGGGCAGATAAAGTTATTCTTCATATGATGCAGAAAACTTAATTATGGTCTTGCCTTTCTTCCACAGAAATAAAACAGCTGCACACTTGTATATGTATGGCACATAATTGCTAGGTATAGTTAGCTGGCTGTTAACATCCTTCAGCTGCAATGCAGAAACTTAAGGTGCTGGGTGAAATATTAATCAGTCGGAGCAGAAGAAAGTTGTTGCCAGCAGGAGAAGCCTGTTCCGGGTACGTGTGAAGGCTTTATGAGAGACATGGCTATTGCTTGATTTATACAGCTGCTAGGGCACCACACATAGACAAGCTATTTTTCTGTAAAAATAAATACATTTAAAAATTGAATTTTTTTTTTATATATATATATATATATATATATATATAAATTTGCCATTCATTGGTGAAGAGGAAATGGCTATGAAATAAGTTAGCCATGCTTTTACGATACTGCATAGACACATAGATAATATATGGTAAAGGTTATGCTGGATTTAGCACCTTGCTAACTGCAGAAAGCCCTAGTCTCAGCCTAGCCTTACAGAGGATTAGGCTCCAGAACAACAAATCATGAATGTGAAATTAGACTCCTTTTTAAACTAATTATGTCAAATGGCTTAATCAGGCAAGTACTTAATACCGTGTATGGTCCTTATTACTCTAAGTAGTTCACATGGGTATACTTGCATGTGTAAATCTGCAGTAATATTAATTCCTCAAGGCCTAGATTAGGGGCTTTAACAAAAAAGAGTTCTATGGACTAGTGTTTTGGCTGTACACAGTGCTCATGCCCCTGGGTTGTCTTTTCTGGCTCTGTAAGAGAGGTCTTTGCTGTGTAGCAGTCAGCTGCACTCTCTCTTTTGGTTTCATACCTCATTTTAAGCCACAGGTATTGGGGCATTGAAGACAAAATACAGAGTTTTCACTGATACGGTGGATGCAGGGCCCTGCATCACTGCATTTTGTTATGGGCCCCATAACCTCGAATTAGCAGAATAGTAACAAACAGCTGCCTTAAGCTGCTGTAGGGGCTTGCTTGAGGGAACATGAACCCAAAGCCCTCTCCCTTTTCTTTGACTCTGTGTTTACCACAGCAATTCTTTTCCCTAATTTTCACTTGTGAGCAGCGTGGGCCTTTCCCGATGGGAGCCGTGTGGGTGTTAGCTCGGGTAGCGTGCGCCTAAGGGCGCTCCGGGCTCAGCCATACCGGGGCCTCGCGCGGCTGGGCCGGGCTCGGCCTGAGGGGCCCTCAGCGACCGCTCCGGGCTGCGCCTGCTGCTCCGCTGCACACGGGGAAATGGCTGCCGGGCTGAAGAGCACAGTCTGGTGTAAGGGCTGCCGCAGAGAGAATCTGGCTCTGCAGATCTCCCTTAAGGCCTGGAGGAGAGGCAAGTTGCCATTGCTGTAGACTCCAGCCTAACATCGGCCTGGGAACCGCGGACGTTGGATAATCTGGGCTCATGAGAAGGACCTGAGAGAGGAGAGACAAATCTCATGGCTCCCAGCACCCTTGTGCAAGACTCGCTTTGTTCTGCAAGAGGAAGCTCAGGAGCTGGAGAGAATATTTGGCTCAGATGCCCGGTTTGGTTGAGGTTGTAGGCGGCGTCTTCAAAAGAACCTGCCCCAACCCCGCAGTCGCTGCGCCTTGGCGCAGGGAGCGTGCAACTGCACCAGCTTTGCAGGCACCACGACTTGGGGAATTTGGCACTTACTGCCCATTTGCTTGGATCTCAAGGACAGAGAGGAACTTCAAACACCAAGCAAGTTGGAGCTGGAATCATAAAGTAGTGGATAATGTACATGGCTTCATTGTCAAGCACTATTAAGCAATGCTTAAGCACGTTGGATAACACACCTAATCTTGCTTGAATGTGTAATCACAAAAGCTGTCGCTTGACAATAACTATAATTCCTGCTTTTTTGGAAACAGTTTAGCATTTCTTAAGCAAAGTTTGGGTTTTGTGGACTACAGAGGCAGGATGAAAGGTAAAGTTTGGGTCCTCTGTAGCTTTAATAGTTTTTTGATAGGTTTCCAACCATGAGGTGGAGCTGCCCCATATATATATTTAAAAATATCAGAAATGAACAAATGAGTAATGATGAGTAATGATACTTTGACATCTTGATTTTGACAAATATTCCAGAATCCACATCTAGGGCATATTAGGGCAACAGCATGTGGGATTGCTTTCATTGAGAACATTCAGGAAATCTTGTGTTTTAAGAAGTAAGCAGCCTTTCAGCTACATAGAAAAGAGATAGGTCCTCTGCACTAAGGAGCACATACCTCAGCCCCACCAAGCCCATGCTCAGCAACAGGACATTTCAAATGCTTGGGAGCTGTGGCTTTCAGTGTCTTAAGTCCAGAAGTGATAAAATTCTTAGTCATAACTTTTTTTTGGCTGTTGTGTTTGTGCCCTTAGTTTTACGATGGGCGCTAATTTATAATTGTGAAGGAGCTACTATAGCGAGAATTTTCTGTTACTTTAGCTATGTCTGTTTCTTGACTATTTCTAGATGAGAACAATGTAGCTTCTGAGTGTTTTCTTACTGCTGTAACACCAGAAAATATCGTGCAATACCGAACACTAAGATACCTGGAAATGCCAGTCAGTCTCTTAACTCCCCTCGTAATTTCTGGTTTTCAAACTCTTGTCCTAGCATGGCATGTGCTTGGCATGTTCTTCTTAATGTAGATATCCCTTTCAGTCATAAAATATTAGTTACAGAATCCTCCAAAAATAAAAGAATTTTAAGGCTTGTTTGTTAGCTCTGTAATTTAAAATTCCTGAGTAATTTTGGGTTCAGCTCTGAGAACTGGCCAGCTCCTCTGTGTCTGCTTGTGGTTGAATGCCAACCAACACATAAACTTGCAGCAGGTGGATACCTGCCTTCCATGGTTTTCCATTTTGCTTACCCTTTAAAAATATGCTGAGCTTCCTGGTACAACAACCATGAAATGAACACCAGGATATTAGTAAGCCAAGTTACTAGTGCATATAATCTGAGATTTACTTGAAATACTTAAAAGAATAAACGAAAATGCAGGAAACCTTAGTTTAGAAACATCTTAGGAGGTGCAGTGTAAATTAAAAATTTAGTGTTTCAACATAAACTTCATTTTATTTTTGTCTCTTGTAGTCTTTAAAATATGTAAACAGAACAGACTTTCCAAAGTGCATTAGAACCAGATTCTCGAAGTGCTTGAAATAGAAAAACTCCTGTTTTGGGAGTGCTTTTGTTACCTGCCTTTCTTCCAATGCGTTTCAATAGTATCTTTGAGTTGGTAAAGATTTTGACTTTGCTTGAGTACACTCACAAAAGTCAAAAAGACATTTTGAAGGCAATTCTCAATTTGCATTTTAACCTTTAAGTCCAAGACAGCACGAACAGGACTTGTGGTATCTTCAGTAATTAGACAGCAACATCCTCCCTTCTTCAGAGAAATAGCTCTTAAGGGAGAAAAAATGAGCTGATTTTTTTTTTCTGCATACTGCTGTGAAAAGAAGAATTAATACTCACTATTTTCATTTCAAGGAAAAATAATTGGTCAAAATGAGCAGAAAAAGAGAAAAAGCTAACTTCTGGCTAGCTGAGGTCTACGGCTTTGTTTCCTTGCTCTGTGTCCCTGGCGCAGCTTCTGGCTGTGCCCGATGAATGGGCCTGTGGACTCTTCTTGGGACAATGTGCCCTGCACTTCCCTGTGCTGAAAGGGACCTCATAGATCATCCAGTCCAATCCCACCCTGCTCACGCAGGGTCACCTAGAGCACGTGGCACAGGGCTGCGTCCAAGCGGGTTTTAAAGATCTCCGAAGAAGGAGACTCCACAACCTACCTGGGCAGCCTGTTCCAGTGCTCTGTCACCCTCACTGTCAAGAAATGTTTCCTTAAGATGGTCACTGTTTAGTTAGGAGTGTGTCCCAAAAGCATTTCCCATGGGATGCCTTATGGTAAAGGACTTGCTGAAGAGCCCTCCTAACTGGGACCAAAGCTCCTTACACCATATTGTACACCGTATTTCCTCCTCTGTCAAACTTTGCTATTGGTTTTTTGTTTGTTTGTTTTTGTTTCAAAATGTTTGAGTTGTGCTGAAAATTGCCTCACTCAGACTCTTTCTTATGGGATTGTTGCTGGGATTTTTCAAGTTACTGCTTTGACCTCATGGATCAAAGTAGCTTTTAAATTTGTTGCCTGCCGTGTCTATCCTTTGAATAGGAAAGGCAGTTTTACTGCAGTTGCTCTACGTGTTGTGCAGGTCGTGCATGTCCCAGCAGTTTCCACTTGTTTGCCTAGCTGGTAGTTTTTGAAGGGAATCTCGTTACCTCCTTCTGGTAGCAGGATTTGGAAATTTTCCCCCATGGGTATTATGAATAGACCAAATCCTTGTCATGGCTTTTTATGTTCAATATAGAACACGTTATAAAGCCTGTATTTACATATTCTAAATGTTAAGACAGCAGAATTGTCTTCCTGTTGCATAATCATTTTGGAACTGTTAAATTTTATTTTTACCTTTTTAAAACCCAAATAGTTACTTTGCTATGATGAAGCATTTGACTGCAAGCACGTATTTTAGTTTGAAATATCTCTTTACAAGATCAGTCTTTAAATTCTTAAGAATTATTCAACAATCCTATCATGCTATTCTGCCTTAACCAAGGCAAAAATGCAGAGGTCTAATTAATTGACCTGCCATGCTTCTCTGTGGACTGTTTGTCATTAAACATGAGCCTGTGTAGCGGGGTACCCTTTTTGAACTGCGTTGCTTGATCCCCTGCAGATCAAGCACCATGAACAATGTTTTATTTCATGGGGGAAGAGAAGCAACTGGTAGATTGGGGCATAAACGTAAATTCAGTCGCTACAGTTGGATTTTCTTTTGCAGCTTATCTGTTGGCAGTTTGAGCATGGGCAGGTTAGGTGTGGTTACCAAGTCCCACAAGGAAAATTTCCGTAGGAGAAGTGTAAGGTGAGAGCAGAAACACTGTTTCTGTGAAAGTCAGAGTGTTTAGTGATGGGGGAGAGAATTCCTTAGGTGTGAAGCAAGACGACCCGTACCCAGTAGCAATTAAAAACATTCCCCATTTATGTGAAGGTCTAAAGAGCAGGTAAAGTATTTACTGCATTTGGCTTGCTGTTTGATATTCAAACTGCATTGTTCACTCGGTGATAGCTGTGAATGTCCTGGCTCATGGAGCTACCTCTGTCTGTGAGGCACTAAGAGAGGCAGACCTGCCCCATAGATTGGGGTTGTTTTTTTGCCTTTCTTCTCCCCCTGCCCCCAAAGGAGGTTTCTGTACTCGTTCCACTTCTGTGGAATAAGCACAGCCTGCCTGCTGGCCTTCCTTTAGCCGTGCGTTTGGTGCGCTCTGCCTTTCCTTGGGGAATATTGAGCTACTTCTAGTGGGGCTTCTGAATTAACTGACAGCTCGGAAAGAGGTAGGTTATAAAATACTTACCTGTAAGATTGTATAGCAGTTCTGCAGTAGCAGTGGGTCCATGAAGTTCTGCATTCCGAAAAGCCCCACACAAATGAGCATCATCATCCTCAGCTGAAGCTTCGTCTCGCAGATTTGGCCTCTGAGCTGGCAGAGCCTGTGGCTCTCGCTCTGGTTAGACCTGCCTTGTGGCTCTCACTAAGGAGAGCTGCTGATGGAAACGCAGGCAGGCTCAACATCTCGGCCCGGGTAAATTTTCAATAATGAAGGTGGGCGTGTGTGTGTGTGTGTGTGTTTGTTTTCTCTTGGGATCTCTAAATGAAAATAAATCAATTTGCTCCTCCAGGTCATACATGAGAAATCCATAGTCAGTCTACCATGGTAAAATATGGAGAACACACTGCAGCTTAAGAGTGTTTTAAGGAAATAAATGTCTAAAGAGCAAAGTTAAATGACTGTATATAGTCTGCTCACACGTGCGGAAAAGGTGACTTTGTTTGGATACCAACACATGAAGTGGTTTTGCAGGACACTGTTACAGCTCCGCAAATCTGTCAGGCATGTGGAATCTCAATCTGTTCCCAGCCAGCTGCAGTCCTTGACTGAAATGATATTAAATCTGTTCATTAGAGCAGGCTTCCTGACAGCTTGTTTGCCTAATAGAATTACACTTGCTATTTGTAGTTTTTGAGCTTCCTCTACTGAGATCCAGTATTGTTCTCTTAGTTCAGGCAAGCAATCTGGCACTATTTATTTAGTCCTTAACGCTCTTAACTAGTCTTTTCTTCAAGCATCAGAAGTTCAGTCATTGTAAACTTTAGCTTCTCTTATACAGATGTCTGCTGAGTAATTCTGTCACCAAGGTCTGTACATTGACTGCTTGGAGTGCTGTTTCATTTACTCTTGACAGAAGATTTTTTCTTCTTCTTTTTAAAGCCAAGCTCGACAGATTTGTAAGAAGGAGATTTTCACAGCAGCAGGTCTTCATGGTTGGAAGAAGGAACCCTTGCTACAGCTTTCAAAATATTCAGTAATATTTTTTTCCCCTGCAGAAGGTTTTTTGTTTTTTCCCCAGTAATGTTACTCAGAAGTAGATTATCCAGAATAAAACTTAGCCTTGAGTGATTTGAGAGTGCTAGATAACATTTAACATGTTCCGTTTTTAGATATAATTTCATAGTATGAATTACCAAATCTGTAAATGAAGGGTTTGGAGGATGAGGGCACAGTTTGTTTTTAAGAATTCAACCATGTACTCTGAGAACAATATTAGTTTTTTTGCAACTTTACTCTTCGAGAGCAGACTAGAGCTGAAATCAGCTGCGTAGTACTGCACAAGAGAGAATGCACTTCTAAAGATGTTGTTCATTTCTGTGGTAACCAAGAGCATATATGAGATGAAACAAATTGGCATGATTCAATAATATGAACTTCTCTATTTTAAAAGGTGGAGTCCACAGGTGATGTGTAATTTTGATAGCAGCATTTGATGCCTGTCAACTGACAGCAAACAATGTCTCATCTCCTGAAGCTCTTTGAAAGGGAGATAATTTCTAGACCAGGATAATTTAGATACTTTATTTAGCTTTTAAAACATCAAATAAGAGGGAGGGGAAGGCCAAAATATTGAGTGTAAACAGGAATTAGTGATGTGATGCAGCCTATAGTTAGTTGACTGTTCATATTCCACTCTTATAACTAAAGAAATATCTGATAACCTGCCATTCTGTATGTACTCTTGTGCAGCTTGTAATACTTATTTTCCTGACAGACAATATTAAATGTTGTATTCTGCACTGCAGATGTGTAGGAGCAATGTGTCCACAGTTCATCGTGTCGAATAAGATTGTTCTTGTCTGTCCCTCCCTCCTGGTCTGTCAGGATTTTTCCCAGTCAATCCCAACCTCTGTCCCTGAATCTCATGCTTGAAATACAGAAGTGATAGATTTCAGAACAAAGCAATGAGACTTAACTCCTCGCTCGCTGTCCCACGCGTTCAGAGCAGGTGCTGGTATCTTTATGCTGACCAGTTGCAAGCAGGTTAGATGTTGAAAACACCTTTTTGCTCTGCTGCTTGGGTCTGCTGGCCTCAGAACAACTGAGAGCAGCCACTGGCAAGTTGGGCTTTGCCCTGGAGTTCTGTGCTAGAAGCTTCCTTTAAAAAAACAAAGAGTATGGATATGTGCTCCCTGGGTATGGTATTATAATGTATGTTTTGTTATGCAATCTTTTGCATTGAAGATAATGGGTATAGATAAGTATTGCAGCTCTATGTCGTTCTTGAGATTTGTAGATGTGTTCCTGCTGATCAAAACCCTTCCTGATTGATTCTAAAAATGGTAGTGCTTATGTGCAGTTAAACAGTCATGGATTTTAACTGCCCTAGAAGTGTGTCTTTTCTCTGAGTTCCTTTCATTTTATTATTTTTTTTGTATATGTTTCTACAGGTGTTTGCCTTTGATCACTGTTTTTGGTCCATGGATGAATCCAACACCACAAAATATGCAGGTAAATTGTTTTCTTTACATCTGACAGTGTAAGTGATTGGAGGATAGATGAGAGGGTGGTTTTCATTGATTTGTTTTTGCTGTTTCCATTCTATGGTGTGATCCCCAGATGGCTTGTTCACAAAAGGGGACTTTGAGAGGCCTTTAGTCATCCACGTGGTAGCTCTTCTGCTTAAATGCAAACTGTAAGAGGACCAACATAGTGCTTAGGAAGGATGATTTTACACCTAAGCTGGTATTTTCTTTTCCTTACATTCAAGAGCTTCTTGTGAGGAGCGCATGGCACTTGGGATGGATTTTTAGTATTCTGCCAGAAACCCATTGTGAGCACTGCTAGTGATAAAAGCGTATTTTCGCTGTCCTGCATTTCTGGGCATGAAAGAAGAGAAAAAAATCTTCAGAAGGTGTGAATATTTTGGATGTTTCCCATCATTCAGGTCATATAAGTATTAAGACATTGTAATATATGAAGGCCATATTAAATATGAATATGTTAAGTTAAATATAAAGTATATTTGTTCTATTAAATATAAAACACCTGAATGATAATCTAATCCCTAATCACCCTGAGTGATCCATTTTGACTTATTCCTCAGTCTGATGATTCCATACTGGACTGTCATCCCAGTGTTTACTTTTCTCTCATAATGTAATTTATATATTCTTATGACATATTACTATGTTAAAAGGAAACTTATTACTATGTTAAAAGGAAACTTATTTTGTTCAGGACAACTTTTTCCTGCATTTCAGAGCTATGGAAAAGAGGGGGGGAAAAAAAAACAAGGATTCAGTTAAGATACCTGTATTATGAAGATCTGTGGCTTTTAAGAAATCTTGAAGGGGGAGTGTAGCTTAAAATTTGAGATCACTGGTCTACCAAATTCATAGATGTGTCCCCATCTCTCTTCTATAGGCCTTATTATCAAATCCTAAGTCTCAAAAGCTGCACTCGATCATAGGTTTTGCTGTAATCCTTGCTTGCCGAAGTGGAATGGGGTTCCTTTGGGAAAGCAGCTCTGCTTTAGCCCATCCTTCGGGGCTGTGTTTGCACTGAGGAGCAAGGGCAGTGCTCCATGTTTGGAGCCCAGGCCAGCCGCCCCCCGGCACACACCACAGCGCCTCTTGTGCCCGCACATCTGGGTTCCCTTTTAAACAAGGGAGGTGACGCTTGGTGGCCACTCAGGCCTTGCCTTGGTGCACCTCAGGTGCGCAGCTGGGAGCTGCTCCGGGGGACTAGGCTGCTCCTCGGTACCAGAGAGGCCGGAGAAACACCCTGAACCAGTCAGACGAGTTTCTCTTTTGGTTTAACCAACCTCCAGGGGCATTCAGTGGGACTGCAGGCCAAAAACCATTTGAATTTGAGTCACAGCTGGATTGGTCTAACCTCTCTCTGAAGCTATAATTGGATTCTTCTCCGCTGGAGAACTGAAGGCTTTTTCCAGGGGCACACAGTCTGAGCAGCCCCCCCAAATGCTGCTGCATCTCTTGGCTCTTCTTGCTCCCACCTCTCCCCGGCGAAAATCGGGTGTTTTTCTTTTACCTGTTCAGATAATGTTCCTGTCTGAAAAAGAAACTTATCTTCCTAGTTTCTTTTTAAAAATATGATAGAAGTGTGGATTTCAAGTCTTGCATATGTAAAAAACAAACAAACAAACCCAATGTTTTCACCGATTTTTGAATAGTTTTGAAGTTATCTTGTGACTTGGAGCTCTTACATTCTAAAACATGATGAATTTGGCAGAAGAACAACAAGAAAAAAAAATCTTTTCCAGTCATAAGTTGCTGAATTGTTGGCTTGTTCATTTGCTTTTGCATGAGCTGATACTCCAAACTGATGTTTTTGTTTTGTTTGCAACCAAAAAAAAAAAAAAAAAAAAAAGTGATAAGATTTCAGCTTTTGTGTACTTGTAATAAAGTGCCTTAAATCTTTTCACAGCTTAGACTAAATTTCTCCACTGAACAAAATACAATGTATTTTTTTTTCCCTTGTGAGAATTGTTCTTCCTGGTCTAATGTAACAAAACCCATTTGGTCTAGGCACATAACAAATACAGATGTTAGTTTTTGAGCTGAACTGCCATCTCTTGGTTGGACACTAGGTTATGGAAGGGATGCTGATCAGGAAGCTAAGTGGGTTAGACACCTGCTGCCCAAGATACCTCAGTGTAGATGCCTACATTTGCTGTCACTACCAAGAGCAATGGTGATTTTATGACTGCTAAACAGTAATCATAGAATCATAGAATGCCCAAGGTTGGAAGGGACCTCAGAGGTCATCTAGTCCAACCCCTCTGCACACGCAGGGTCACCCAGAGCCCGTGGCACAGGGCTGCATCCAAGCGGGTTTTAAAGATCTCCAAAGAAGGAGACTCCACAACCTCTCTGGGCAGCCTGTTCCAGTGCTTTGTCACCCTCACAGTGAAGAAATGTTTCCTTAAGTTCCTGTGGAACTTCTGATGTTTCAGTTTGAAGCCATTTCCTCTAGTCCTGTCGCTGGCCACCACTGAAAAGAGGCCACCCCCCTCCTCCTCACTGCCTCCCTTGAGGTATTTATACACGCTGATCAGGTCCCCCCTCAGCCTCCTCTTCTCCAGGCTGAACAGGCCCAGCTCCCTCAGCCTTTGCTCATAGGGCAGATGTTCCAGGCCCCTGAGGATCCTGGTAGCCCTGCGCTGGACTCTCTCCAGCAGCTCCACATCCCTCTTGTACTGGGGAGCCCAGAACTGGACACAGTCTCCAGATGTGGCCTCACCAGGGCTGAGTAGAGGGGGATGATCACCTCCCTCCACCTGCTGGAGATGCTCTTCTTAATGCACCCCAGGATCCCATTGGCCTTCTTGGCCACCAGGGCACACTGCTGACTCATGGTCAACTTGTCGTCCACCATGACACCCAGGTCCCTCTCTGCGGGACTGCTCTCCAGCAGGTCCATCCCTAATCTGTACTGGTGTCCGGGGTTATTCCTCCCCAAGGGCAGGACCCTGCACTTGCCCCTGTTGAACCTCATGAGGTTTCTCGCCGCCCAGTCCTCCAGTCTGTCCAGGTCCCTCTGGATGGCAGCACAGCCCTCAGGGCTATCAGCTACTCCACCCAGTTTGGTATCATCAGCAAACTTGCTGAGGGAGCACTCCAGCCCTTCATCCAGGTCGTTAATGAATAAGTTGAACAGGACCGGACCGAGAACTGACCCCTGGGGGACACCACTAAGTACAGGCCTCCAGCTGGACTCCGCGCCACTGACAGCCACTCTCTGCACCCTGCCTTCGAGCCAATTCCTAATCCACCTCCCTGTCCACTCATCTATCCCACAAATGATTGCCAAGTTTAAGAAGTGTGTGTGAAACTTGAAACAACTACATCCAGAGTGCTTGTAAATGTGAGTCGTATGAGCCCTAAGTGTAAGCAAGCTATTAAGAGGTATGCGAGATTATCTCTTCAACTCTTTTGTTAGAGATTATTTAGTTTCTGAAATTTCCAAAGTGCTTCTGTGAAGTTTGAAGTACTTCAGTGGTCGTTGTTGTTTTAGGATAAATGTGAGTGAGAGATGTGAGACATTTTGGCCAATAGGGGTTGAAGCGCAAGCTTCATACACGTCACAAAATTACAGTGGAAGATTCAACAAGGGATTCTCAAGTACTAGTCTGCCCCGTTAATCATCACTGTCTGTGCAAAACCAAAATGTACCCATGGTGATAAGCTCAATAGCTAAACTGTTATGTCTAACATATTATTTTAAAGATTTGATCATCATGAGAGAAATAATAATAATAATAATAAAACCTTGCACTGCAGACAATGTGCATATGAATTCTAGTGTATGTTGACATATGTGGATACTTGTATGTTTTATTTTCTGTTATACAAAAGCAAAATTTATTCTGTGCTGGAAATGCTTATCTCTTACAGGATCTTCAAAGCTATCCCACTACGTGCTGGTTTTATTTTTTCACTTCAGTTGTTGTTTGATCTATAATATTGCCAGCACTGTTTTGAATAGGAAGATTTCTGTTTGGGAATAGTTAATCCTGTGGGTGATTTAATAGCATTTTGCAGATTCCAAAGGAGCCTGATCTGATCTTGAAACAGGACTAGTTTCTTTCTCTTAAATGAAAGTTCGTCTGAGATATAATTGTCTTTGTTTTGTAAGTCAAAGGTTTATTTTATTGCAGTAATTTCCCTTGTGGATTCATATTCAGGAAGTACAAGGAGTTTATTCCAGTTTCAAAGTTACATTCTCTTTCCAATATTTGAAGATACTGGGGATTGTTGGTGTGAAAACCTAATGCTGTGTGCTTAGGTCCTAGCTTATATCCCAATAATTCCACAGGTAGCAAGCACTACATGGGCCTTTTTTTAATAGTGATGGTACAGAAAGAGGCTACTGGTGGGACAGTGAGTGCAGGGCTGCTTTATGTAGCACCAAGGTGGGTGCCTTGCTGCTCTGAAGCCATCCAGCAGTATCGCTGATGTGGACAGGGAAGGACACCTGGATACCTTTGTGTGAAGAGCAGCTTCTGCAGAAGGGTCTTTGCGTCTCTCCACAGCACCAAATTCCCTATAAAGACAGTGACAGCCTGGAGCCCGTAGGAAGCTTCTTCCTACGAAGCCTCTTTGTTAGCAGTGCTTTGGCATCAGAAGCTGCGGGAACTGTTTGATTTCTGGCCTTAGAGAGTGCAAGATGCAAAAACCCATTTGCTTTTTCACCGGAGCAAAAAACTTTTTTTTTTTATCTCCTGTTGCAGCTTCTTGTTTGGAACTTGCTACTCTCACTCATGTTGTCTTATGACTCCCCCTATTATGAGTTTTTGTGAAGTTTGAAAAAGTGTTTGTAGTTTAAATTCAATGCTTTATTTTTTATCGTTGTTTTTTTCCCCTCCAACTAATTAGCAAGTAGAAGGAGGGTTACTCTTTATGCTGAGAATGTTCCTGACTAGTGTGTAGCTGTATCACTCCCAGCCAGGAATGGTTATAAAACTCCGAGTTTGGGCTGGTTATCACATGCTCCCACTGTGCCTCTTTTCTGATGATTTCATTTTGAAAGATGCAGTTGAGAAATCACTGAGTATAAGTACAAGCTTACTTGGAAAGGGAAAAAAAAGGGCCCGTGAAATAGATTTTTGAGAAAATGAAGAAATTTGGTTATAGGACAAAGTAAGTTTGACTTAAGCTGGTGGGGGATAAGTGCGGCCTGATAGACAGCAGGGAAGAGGATTGGAGAAAAAGCAAAAGAGCTTCCACCAATTATTTTTTCATGGACTTGAATGAGTCAGGAGTAGGTTCCTGATAAGGCTGTACCTGCCAGCCTTGGAAAGCATCGAGATAAATAACGGCGTGATGCTCCGGTGGAGGGGAGGGCATGGAGAAATTTGTGGAGCAGAGAACATGGAATTCTTTTTACCAGCAGCCCCAACACCAAGAGCCTCTTAAGCTGAAGTGAAATGGCGCGAGGGAAATAAATCCTTTAGTGTGGGTCAGATTCAAGAGATGGTATAACTAATTACAAGAGCTGTGAGGCAGGTTTGAAGTGTTTAAATCCCCTCTACTGACCTCCTCCTGTAGCCATTTATCCCTGCATTGATTTTTTTTTCCTTTTAAACTTTCTAAACTGCATCAAATTTGGCCAGAAATCTCTCAGATCTGTGTTTCTGCGAGACTGAACAACTGACTTTAGCCTAAGGTTTAGTTCAGTATGAAAGGTATATGCTGACTACTGCTCTTCCATTAGCTATATTAAGAGGACACTAACCATAGGAAATGTTTAAAGAGCTCTAGGCTCCTACTCCCATGAGGGATTTTAAGTTGTGGCAGGACAGTCTGAGTGTCTGTATCCCCAACTTGCCCACGTGAACTCCTCAGCAGAGTTCTTGTTCTTCACGTCTTGTAGGCATCTCTTTTCTGATTTCAAATGACTTCTTTTAAAACTTGTCTCAGAATTGTTGTTTGAAAAACTTCTAAAGCTGAAAAGCAGAGCTTTCAATACTTCTTATCTCAGCAGATCAAGTTTTATTTTAACCATTAGTTCATTGAACTACTGTACTGTGATTTGTTGCTGTCGAGAATTGCTACCTGTTAAAATGTGAGCTAGTATGTCTGTAAAAATGAAACCTAACCTGGAAACAATATAGCAGTTCCTATCAGCCTCACGATTTATTTTATGGTGTGTTGTACATAAAATACATAGCTGTTTCATGTGTTCTGGCTGGGGTTTTGGTTGCGAGAAATCTTTCTCAGCTGCTCGTTGCTAGTCCTCAGAGTATCTGAGAAAGATGGAACATCTTTTTGTTTGTACAGAGTTTGTACAGACTTGTCTAAGATATGGAAAGTGTGAACTAAGCTTTAAAAAGAAGCAAATTTTACAGGCACAAAGAATCTCTTTTCATCTACGCTTTGGTAGCAATAAAAGTATGGGAAGAAAAAAGCATGAATTTGGGGCAAGATTTTTTCTAGGTTGCCTTAAAAGCATTTGTGACAAATTTACGAGAAGTTTCTTGCATGGTTACATGAAAGTTTCTGATTTGTTTCAAGCTACTGCCTTCTGATAAGCCAGAATGTGATTGCAGCTGGAGAGGATAATTATTGTCAGACGATGCATCACTCAACACATACATTATGATTGAATAATCAAATTGAATGAAAAAATACTAGAGTGGAGATGGAATTTCTTAAGTACAACAGTCTCCTCTGTTTTTGATTCTTCTATTCAGTGTTTCTGAACTGTTAATTTGAACTCTGCTAATCCAAGAAAAACAGTAACGTTTTAGAATTTTAGAAGTTAAATTTGGAAGTTATACGCAGATGATCTTTGCTGTAACAGATTTTCTTCTACAGCAAGAGACATTAAAGGAAATAAGCATAATATGTGGAATTTTTAGTTCTGTTTACCTGTGTAAATCATTCCATAGTCATTGCACAGATTGTCCCAATAGCATTTTATGGATTACCTAGTACTCAAAGATTGTAAATATTCTCATGCAATGTCTAAACAGACAGCTAAATAGGTTTTTGATTCCAGTAAGTGTGTTCTGTTTTGGGAACTGTGGCAATCATTAACACCGCCCTGATGCAAAATAATTTCTCATAACTGACAAATATTTCAGTACAGCTAAACCAGTAAGTCATTGTCCGTAGAAGAGATAAGCAGATGACGTGGCTTCACAGAGTCACCAGGCAGTGCATTTAAGCTTAAAATCAAACACCAGAGTAGATATGAATATGGCCTTTAGCACAGATCCTGTTTTGGGCGTCCGCGCAGATGGCAAAGCTCCCAGGTCAGAGCTCCAAACGGGCAACCCCTCAACCTTGGCTGTGGTGTGCAAATTCTGAATAAAAACCCCATGCCCATTTTCATATTTTATATCTGAAAGTTTGAAGGATACCAAAATTGTCTGTCTGGAACCAAGAGAGGATTTTCAGACTGTAGCTGATGTTTCAGGCTATGGGTTTGTCAGGATATGTACTTAAACAAATTTGCTTTGAAATCTCCTCACCTAACAACCTGCCTTTCCTTCCTTGGTTATCATCAGAATACTTTTGTCTTGCTTACAGCAACACCATGGCACAGGTTTAAAAATAATAGCAATGAGTGAAACTTATTGCCAGTTCTTAAGAGAAAAACTGCTGCTGCTGCTAGTGTAACTCTTGTTGTAGCTATAGTATCCTAGTTCATTAATGTTTTTCTGCAATCAGTTTAGTCTGTGATTACACATTTTTAATCACATTGTTATTTTTTTAAATCACATAATTAAATATTTTTATTACAAAATTTCCCCTAAAATAATATAAAATCCAGGGACCTACACTGTTTACCAAGTGTGCAACTTAAACCCTCAGTTACTGAAGTAGTATTTGCCTCACAGGAAAATGATCAGTAGATTTAAACACACAACTTATTATACTTGTTATAGGCAGCCAGATTTAATTTAATCATTTGGTTGCATATGAAAGCATTTAATCCTTACCAATCCTTACCTTATCAACAGTAGAAATAATTTCTGAATTCCTTTTCAGTGAAATGCGACCTGTTTTCTTTTACTGTTTTAAATTAATTTAAAAAATATATTATTTTGTAGGTCAAGAAGTGGTGTTCAAGTGCCTTGGAGAAGGAATTCTTGAAAAGGCCTTTCAGGGATATAATGCTTGTATATTTGCCTATGGACAGACAGGTGAGAGAGTTTCCTGTGATAAATGGAGAGAGTAGAACATAAATATAAAACTAGGTAATGTCAAAAAAAATTTAGAAACATTATAAAGTTAAACCTCAATATTAACTAGGATGCAGTTTTCCATTTTATTGTAGTGATTTGTATTTACTTCTTACAAATTGATGCTCTGTGTAAGCACAATGAGCTCAGCAAAGCCAGGCACTATAATATTTGGTATCTCTTGCAGTCACTTTCTAAGCCTCAAAATAGTTCATACCAAGGCTCATTTTGTGTTAAAGAGGATTGCAAATCATGCCCTGCTGAAGGGATTTATTTCTCTCTCTCTCTGTGTCTCGCTCTCTCCTTCCCTTTTTTTCTTTTCTTTTTTAGCCTGCATCTGATAATATCGCGTTGTTCTGATATGAGCTTCTGGAGGAGTATAAAGAGAATTCAAAAATGTGCTTCATAAACAAAGTAACCCCAAAACTGCATTCTCAAGCATTTTCTTTTCCTTTTTCCCTTAGGTTCAGGAAAATCGTTTTCAATGATGGGCAATGCAGAGCAGCTGGGTCTGATCCCACGGCTCTGTTGTGCTTTATTTCAGAGAATCTCTGTGGAAGAAAATGAATCTCATACTTTTAAAGTTGAAGTGTCCTATATGGAAATCTACAATGAGAAGGTTAGAGATCTCCTTGATCCAAAAGGGTGAGTAATTTTAGTTGTGAAATATATGGTGCATAATTGGATTCCTGACCATGATTATCCACGTGCAGAGCTACATAGGTTAGCTTATGAGTGGATTTTAGACTTAATTAATGTATCTCAATACAATGTGGAAAACATATGAAGAATAGTAGATTTAGCAAGTTTCTGGGGGAATTTTGGTTCTCTTTTTTGTCAATAAGCCAAGTAGGTTTGGTTCTAAGGTTTTGTTCCAGCTACAAGCTGGGGGATGATGATGTGGAGCATTACAAAAAAAAAAAAAAAAAAAAAAAAATTAAAATAGACATTGACCGAAACCTGTTAGATTAATTTATCATTTTTTTTCCTGAAGCCTTTTCCTCTGTTATTTCAATTAAAAGGCATAGCAGATTGACTTCTGCTCTACAGATACTATTTTGTCATTTTAAATTATTGTTTTTGCTTTCTAATAAATAAAGCTCACTCTGGTGGTTTGTGCATAAAACCTATTTTACTCCACAGGAGTCGGCAGTCACTTAAGGTTCGAGAGCACAAAGTGCTGGGCCCCTACGTGGATGGCTTGTCTCAGCTGGCTGTTACAAACTTTGAGGTAAATAGAAACCGCTCACAAGCGAATAAATAACTTGTGTGTACATAAGTAATAGCAATCTTGTGACAAACTGGTATCTATCCAGGTGTTTCACAAAGATCTCCTCTAGTGTTTAAGATCGTTTCATCTAGAAGCATTAGATTCTGCTTTATATTGGTTAAAACGTAACAGCTGTGGTATGGTTTTTTTGATTGATATGCTACATACAAAGCACAGAATACACAGGAAATCAGAGGCTCTTAAACAAAAATATTAAGTCTTATAGCATGTATTCCAGCATGGATAATTATTTTTGTCCATTGAATGCAACCTAGTTCTTTACAGATATTAATTGTATGAGAATGTATAATATAGCATGTATCATTCATATTTTAATTCACAGCACCATATGAGCCCACTTGGGTTCCTGATTCCATTAAATATCTGTTGATGTTGCAGAAGCCAATGAACAACTTAACTGCATTAGAGAATAATTAAAGCAGGTCTCTTGTGGGAATTGCATAGCCCTTTCATCGGTGCATACTCTGAGCTGTAAACTGCTTTCACACTTCTGGTGAATTATGTACTTTGAAAGCAGATCCGATTTGTTCAGATTTAAGATATTTTGTTAATGCCTAGTTTCTGGCTGATGACTTCTGTAAATTGCCTGGAAAGACTCAGCAAGCACATGAGTCAGACTTAGCTTAAGCATCTTTGCTCTTACATGTGTGGAAAGGTGCAGCCTCCAGCTGGGGTACCCTCAGAGCCAATTAAGTGAAGAAGGTATTAGGGCGATTTGCTCGAGAGACATGTTGTGTTCATTTATGTAAGTGGAGCTATGAGTGTAACACAAATATGATTTGTATTGTGGTTGTTGCTGACACGTTTCAGCAGCAGATCAGAAGAATGTGCATTGCATGTTGTTCCAGCACCTGATATGCTGGTGTAATTTAAGCTCGTTGGGTGAAACTACATCCTGCTCATACCTGTGCATCTCAAATATACAAAGACGTTTCTTGTTACTTCTGCCTTCCCTGCTTCCTCTTTCCCACACCTACATAACGTTCCATCTAAATGGGCATTTTGTTCAGCAAGCACAACCCTTGCTTTTATCCTAGCATTACCTTTTATCCCTTTTTGCTGTAGGATATTGAGTCACTGATGTCGGAGGGAAACAAATCTCGAACAGTTGCTGCAACCAACATGAATGAAGAAAGCAGTCGCTCTCATGCTGTGTTCAATATCATAGTGACTCAGACACTGTATGACCTGCAGTCTGGTGTATGTATTTCTGTTGACTCATTTATGAAATGAAGATGAATTCTTTCTCTCTCCTTCATTTGGACACTGGATATTTTCAGTTTGAATAATGATCAGTTACAAAACACGCTCTTTGCATTGCTGCCCCAGCGCATGCTCTGCAAGGTATGAGCGGTATCACTTCATGGGGGATAAAGCTTTAAGGACACAAACACCTACCATTTTAAAACTGGACCTGTCTCAGCTTCCAAGCCCCCCAAGCTTTTAAGGGTCACCGCATTTCATGGAGATAATTTGCCACATGATATTACAATGTCTTTAACTTGATCTGTAGTGGAAGAGAAGATTTCAGAATATTTCAGAATATTTAAGGTTGGAAGGGACCTCTACAGATCATCTAGTCCAACCTTCCTGCTCAAGCAGGCACACCTAGAGCATGTGGCACAGGGTGGCATCCAGGCGGGTTTTGAAGACCTCCAGAGAAGGAGACTCCACAACCTCCCTGGGCAGCCTGTTCCACTGCTCTGTCACCCTAACAGTAAAGAAGTTCCTCCTCACCTGGAGACGGAACTTCTTGTGTTTCAGCTTGTGGCCATTACCCCTCGTCCTATCGCTGGCCACCAGTGAGAACAGCCTGTCCCCTTCCTCCCTGCATTCTCCCTTCCTGAACTTATACATATTAATCATATCCCCTCTGAGCCGTCTCTTCTCCAGAGAAAAAAGGCCCAGCTCGCTCAGCCTCTCTTCATACGAGAGATGTTCCATTCCCTTAATCATGTTTGCTGTTTTGACTTTCTTCCTCTTTCTCTAGTCTTTAACACAAGTCACTGCTTTTTCTTTGCTATGCATACATGATTTGCTTAGCAGTACAGCTAAATTTTAATGCCATGGGGCCCAGCAATAAAAAGTATTTTGGCAAAAGCCTAAGATTGAGAAAACACTGGAATAATGAGGAGAGAAACCAGATAAAGCAAAAAGTTGGATCACTTTTTAAGATTGTTCTGCCACTGTGAAACTTCTTAGGTGTTAACTGTTGAAGTTAGTGTGCTTTAGTGGTTTGCTATGCCAGTGAAGTTATCCAAGTCACAGCAGTGCTCATTCTGTCTCATTAGTGTAGAATAAAAAAAATACGACTGAAACTTTAAAAGAGCTTTTTAAAACTACTGCTTATTCTTGCTTGTGTGTATAAAGTCATACTGTAACCCTTAGTATTATGAATGGCAGTGTTTAATGGTGCTAAAATCAGATCTGCTGGTGTGCATTTTCTTTTTGTGCGTTCACGTTCTTTGCTGCTTTCCTCCCGTGTTTCAACTGTGCAGAATTCCGGAGAGAAGGTCAGCAAGGTCAGCCTGGTGGATTTGGCTGGCAGTGAAAGAGTGTCCAAAACGGGAGCTGCGGGAGAACGTCTGAAGGAAGGCAGCAATATAAACAAGTAAGGCACTGGCACGTGCTGATTGCAGGGCCTAATCTTCTAAGGATGGCTGTTGTTTCTCTCATGTCCTGTCTTGGTGTGCTTGCCACAAGTCTGTTCATACAATATGCCTAGTCAAAACCAGTGAAATATGTCTTTTTTGATTGCTCTTTGCTTAAACACCATGCGTTTTCATTGGTGTAGGGACCCTGATTCATCCTTGACTCAGATGAGGACTACATGAATTTTATCTGGAAAAAGTGACAACAACACTCTTTAATTAAACATATACTTTTTGTGATTCACTTATCCACCCTGTCCTCGGGCTCATGTATTTGTCTCATCGTATGCCCAAAGAAGAATGTGAAGTTGCAGAGCTGAATGGCTTTTTTCCAACATGTATTAAAATGTGTAAGAGTATTAATTCCCACCAAAAAAAAAAAAAAAAAAAAAAAAAGGCTAGAATGAATCTGTGCAAGTTTAACGTTGCCTTGGGCATTTGCATTCAAGCAGTAACAAGTTTCAAGGCCCTCTTTTACCATAATTACTGTGTTATTCTCCAAAAGCAAGAATTTAGTACAATATTACTACTGTCTCAATTCATTTTTTCCCAGGAAAATTAGTACACTTAAACTATAAGGTTAAAAGCTGCTGCTTTTTTCAATTTAATTTTTAAATGTTACAAAACTTCCTGTTATTCTCAGTTGACAGTGTCAGCAAGAACTGTGCTTGGACAGCACTCATGCTAAAAATGATTTTAAGGTACTATTTTTAGAGTTTTAGCCTGTTTGTTCTTTATAGCATAACCTCTAATTCATAATATGTTTACTGTGTCATACTGGTAACCAGGCTGGTGTGGAGTCCATGTGCCATGAAACGATATGATTCAGTCATCTTTCCCTGCAGATTACTAGTCAAATTCAGAACAGGTTGACCAGGAACTGTTCTTGTCTTGCACATAAACAGAAGTGAAGCTAAATGTTTCTTTCTAATTTTTGAGGAAGAATTCAAATGCCAACTCCTAGAACAGATGCAACAGATACTAACAAATTAAAAGTCTTACTGGAAACCTCTTATACTCAAGCTGTCTATCTTGCTGTCTATTGAGCTGACGTGTAAATACACATGCACACACATATGTATAAAGTAACATCTTGGGTTGTGTTAGCATGTGCTGGATAAATTTATGAGATCAAAAATAGAGTTGCTGGAATTAAACTGAAAAAATTGCTGCTTGTGCTTTGCTTTATCACCCTGAAGAAGAACATGGCGATGTCGTGGCTGTTTCTGTGTTTATACGAAGGGGAAAGGCCGCGGTTCAGCTGTGCCCGCCGCACCGTGTGGTGCCACGTCCAAGCAGCCTCTGCAGGCTGCTTTGCCCCTCGTGGCGGTGTGACAGCAGGTAGGGACCACGCTGGCCTCCTTTAAGCCCCAGCTCTGGCTGGTTTAGGACAGCGTGGTGCAGACGGGCCGTCAGTGAGGAGGATTTATTGCCAGTGAGGTAGTTATGTGGCTTATATCAATGGCTCTGTGAAGTTGTGATCCCAAAGAGGGCTTCTGTTTTGCCTATGAGCCTGTGCACATTGCCCTTAGATTATGAGGAAGGTTCAGGGTATCTCTGCTCATTTTGTTTTTGCTCTCCTTAAGGGGCTTCCCATAATTCATAAGGAAGCTGGATGTGCCCGTTGCTGCCCGGGATGTACTAGCTCCTCCATGAGCCTCTAAACGCAGGTGCCTCCCAGCACTTTGCAGCGCAATCAAAGAATTTCTAGAATGCGTGAGTAGGAGGAAGTAGAATAAAAAAAGTGTCAATTAGCAGCTAGGAAGGTGTTTTCAATAAACAGTCTGTAATTTTATTTCTGGTTAGTAAGTGTCACCAGTCATCTGAATGAGAAAAGAAGCCTTTAAAAATGGGTAGGGAACTGGCTCCAAAATGATTGTAGGGATTGTTCTTTTTATGTTCAGTGTTAACTAGTAATTAAAAAAAAAAAAAAAGGTCCTGCCTTTTAAAGAGCAGATGGAGATCTTAGGAAACCAGCTTGGATGGGTGTTGCTGAGGGATAGGGGCCCTCCCCTGAGGTGAGGGATGGCGCCTCACCTCAGGCCTGCCCCGGACAGCAAGGGAGAGCCTGGCCACGCTTACGGGACAGGGAAAATGGGAAGTTTGCGGAAATAAATAGGGACTTCTCCGCAGCCTGTCCTGGGCAAAGCCACTGGTTCTGTACCTGCCTCAGTCTGTGGGGTGCGCTTCTGTAAGCGTCGTGGGGTAGGGTCAGCGCCATGACAGGTCTGCGCGGCGCTTAGCGCGAAGCAAAGCGGCCGCCCAGTCCTGGGATTGTTGTGGTGCCGCTGATTCTTTTCATACTCTTCTTACAGTCTTTAAACAGCAGCTTTGTCTTATGCAATCTCAAGAATAAAAGACTGCAGTTCCACTTTCATTGGCAATTAGTCCTAAAATAAATTGGTATTTATGAGAAGCAGAAGGATGATCGCATCTCTTAATTCTGTGTAATAAAGTGATAATTGCTCACTTTTTAAAATACTGTGTCTATAGCTAGAATTGGTGTTACAGACCTGTTGTGAAACAGTTTGTGGCAGACTTTTGTAAGCCCTGTTTTTTTTTTTCCATCCCTCATCCCTAGTGCAAATAGTCCTTGTTCTTCTCCTTTCCCCCAATTTTTCGCTTCTGTTTTCACATTTCCCCTCATTTCAAAAGAGAAGGAGGAAAATAGGGCAGAGAGTTTTTCTAACCCGATGTTTCCTTAAGGCAGCCTCCACTGGGCCTGCGCTGCCAGTGCTTTTGAGCTGTGCTGTGGGAGGCTGCTATGGATCACCCACTGCTTGTTCTTCCACGATCAACTTGCTACCGTCTTGACCCTTCGAGAGGAAAAACCCAAAAGGATGGAGTAGGGAAAAGTACATTCGGAGATGACTACTTGATTACTTTGAATACAAAGATGACTAAATGATTACTTGACTTTCTAATTGCAACCCTACTAAAGTGCTCCTTGAGAGTTATGGGAATTCATGGGGTAATTGAGCCTTGTAGGAGGAATCAATATCCCTCTTGGGCTCTGGCACTGTCTGTTTTAGGATTCCTTAGGCATCTGTTCATTACGTCTTTACTGCTTTGGATCTTTTGATTTAAATGTTCTCAGGATCCTGGACCAACTCATTATCTTAATATACATCTTAACATACCTCAAGATCTTCCCTGTTGTTTATAGTTTACCCTAGGTTCTATAGCAGTTGGAATATATAATATATAGATGTTTTGCAAAGTTTGCTAATACAGTCACACTGTCTTTTTAGGTAGAAGCGGTACAAGTTCCAATTTGCTTATTCTCCTTGCTATTGTAGTGTCATTTGGGGTGTCTGATAAGTAATTTAGGACTTTCTTTACCTGCTCTATTTTTCACAAAAAATTTTGGTAACAAGAGGACTGTTTGGTCTTTACTTTTTTTCCAAAAAAACTAGTGAAACACCATCTCGTTTTTAGATCAGCCCATTTGTCAAAGGACTTCCCAACTGGGCTCTTGCGATGAGAAGTTCTTCATTGTCATGTGCTGGCTGCTTGGGTGCTGCTCCACCAGGGCAGACTAGTTCTGCTGGGCTACAGCTGGTTTTGTCTTGAGATTGCCTCCTCATGAGTAGGGAATTGTTTAGTTTTAGTTTGTTGTTAAGCTGCTAGTGTTCCTAAAACATTCCTCATAGAGACAGGATATTTTTGTTGTGCTGCCAACACTGACTCGTAATAATGTCATGGGGCAGAGAGTCCAAGATGGAAAGATTTCTAGTCTCTGGGAAACAGTAGATGTCTAATCTGAGTCAGTAGCTCTCACTGTACTAAAACAGTCATGGCCTTTTAAAACTTGTTAAAATACTTGAATATTTTAACTTAATTTTCCTGGGACTTGGCCTTGTTGCCAGAGGAGATGAGGTATTTTAGATATCTTTTTGTTCTCTACGTGTAACTTCGTGTAACTTTCATAGATATTTTGCCCTGGTTTCAGTTGTTCTATGATATTGTAAAAACTGGATGTAGATTTCTGGAGAGCACAAATTCAACTCCAGCCACCCCCTCTCCTCTGTATTTATTAAATCCACATTTGGAATATGTGCTCAGAGGTGTTCTGCTGTGTTGCCTTTATAGATCACTGTCGACACTGGGCTTGGTTATATCCTCACTCGCTGACCAAGCAGCAGGGAAGGGGAAAAGCAAGTTTGTGCCTTACAGAGACTCTGTGCTCACCTGGCTTCTCAAGGTAATTAATGCTCCCTTCACCCTGCTCACAAGCTGCCAGGTTGGGAGTGTTTGTGGTTTGTGGGGAGAGATGAGAACTAAGGTGCTCTCATCTACAAGTTGCTCCAAGTAATTTGCAGACTTTAATGTAGACAGTGGTAATTCTGTGTACAGGCGTAATTGGCCTATTCTAAGTTATAGTAGAATCCAAGCCGGTGGAGATGGTTGGAGAAGTTTATGGATTATATTTGGATGCAAAGTAATTGGCATATTTCAGTGTCTAACTAAAGCTTTGCATTTAAAATGTGTTCATAAAGGCATTTTATAGTTACAGAACAATTTTTAATCGTTCAACTTGCTGTGAATGTGTCCTACAGGACAACTTGGGAGGAAACAGCCAAACTGCCATGATAGCCACAATCAGCCCGGCCGCGGACAACTACGAAGAAACGCTCTCCACTCTGAGATATGCAGACAGAGCCAAGAGGATAGTTAATCATGCCGTGGTGAACGAAGATCCAAATGCCAGGGTCATCAGAGAATTACGTGAAGAAGTTGAAAAACTGAAAGAACAGCTCTCTCAAGCTGAGGTAGCTATTCATGATACAGTATATACGGAGTTACTCGAAGAAATGTTACAGACTTTGTGAAGATCAGCTTGATATTTAAGTCTTACAAAAATGAGGAAAAGAGAATTATATTATTTTTAAAATAATTTGTTTCCTGAGATAGTTCCAATATAATATTTCTTGTTTTTTAAAATATCTTTTAAATCAGGACACCATAGTACAGCTGTTATATAGAATAGGCCATTCTATAAGAATTTTATGTCAATCATTAAATGATGTAGCACAAATAAGACCTGTAATCCATCTTTATAACATAGAGCTACTGGTGAAAGCTTCGCCTCCAAACTGATGGAGTGTATAATGTCAAATGGAAAAGTATGAAAAACTGTGTATTTGGTATTGGACCTAAAAATACATGGAATGTTTCTGTCCTTTGTCTGTGAAAGTTAATTAAGAATGGATGGAAGTGCAACACTGAAACCATCAGCAATGGGCATTACAGATCAATACCTATCACAATTATTTCTGCTAATCTTACCCTCCAAACAGGTATATTTATTAGAGTAGGAATATTTTTGATGTTTGGGGAAGCTAACCATTGCAATGTAGGACTACGCTTTAGATATTTTTTGAAACAATATTGGTCAGTCCTTCACTCCCAAAACACACAAACAAATGAAAAACAAACTAACCCCAAAACTTATTTCAGTGTAACTATGAGTGGTGCTTAAACTTGACGTTCATGTAAGGAATTGTGTTTCTTGCATGGATAGTACCTTGCAAGTGGAAGTGGGAAAGTTTGCCATGGAAAGAACCCTTTCACTTTTTTTCCTCAGTAAGAATCTATATTTCTACTCTAACCACAATTTAAGTCGCAACAGATTTCTATGCTTAATTATTGGCACCTGGTAAATTGGCAGACTGTGATTAAGCACAGTCAGTAGGAAGGTATCCAGAGTTTTTTATATTTGTTCTCTTCTCTCATCCCTTAAAACCTTCTGTTCAAAACAGTTATAGGCGAGGCTGCTAAATTGTTCCTGATGACTGGAAATCTTCAAGTTCCTTGTTTCTGCTTCCTGTTGTGAAGTGGGAAGCCTCTGCTAGCTCCAGTGCGTGCCTGCCTTTGGATGTAATTAGCAGTATAAGTCTGAGAGCTGTAATGAAACTTCAAGAACGCTTAAAAAATTGGGGTAGAATGGAAAGCTATATTTCAGGAGGAGCTGTGTTTGAAATAGCTGTAACAAGACAGGCAGTGGAGTTGATCTTTAGACAACTAAGACTCAAGAGCTATTAAATATTGGATATTTTATGCAGACACTAAATCCTGAGTGACCATGCCCTGGCATTTTCTTATATAATGTTGCTCTAGTAGCTTCTATGTAGCTATGTAAATCTTCAGCTGTTTCAGATCTGGACCAATTATTGGTTGATTTTACTTTCTTCCTTTGCCAGATGAACTGTTTTTTGGGGTTTTTTTTTTGTTTTTTTTTTTATCTTCTGACATAGAATAACTGGAGGGAAAGCTGAAATTTGTATTTGCTGTGTTTGATATTCTGTTGGTGTGTGCAGCTCCCTTATACAGGCAGCTGGGGCAAAGTGAAGACTAGGCTAACTGCTTTGCCAATTCTGCCTTTTAGGCCATGAAAGCTCCAGAACTGAAGGAAAAATTGGAAGAATCAGAAAAATTAATAAAAGAGCTAACAGTCACCTGGGAAGAAAAACTAAGGAAAACAGAAGAAATTGCACAGGTAATTCAAAATCTGAAATAGGAAAGGGAAGCCAGCTGAATTCCATGAGCTTCAGTGGACTGTGCTGTCTTCTCCACCCACTGGATTCCTCTGGATTTTCCTCATGCTTTCCATTTTTTTCATGGTCTGAGTTTCATTAGAATAAATATAGTTGTGTCACTTGCATAATTGATAAAAGCTCTTATTTGATTTTTTAAACAAAACATCCAAATACTTTCAGGCCACTTTTTTGATTATAAGAGCATAATGTGATCCTGAGCATGTTTTCTGTGAAGTCACTATAAAATTAACCATTTCAAAAGCATCAAAATTTGAGGCAGTTGTTTGTACTTTCTATTGCTTTTAGTGTCATATTAATTACAGGAGGAAAATATGTATATGTATTCACTAGTGATAATATAATGTTATATCTTAAGATATTATTAAATATATCAAAACTATATTATAAGCAAGCACCTTTTTGGATAAGTAGGTGTTTGAGGTTTAGGTATGATTTCAGTCTATAAAAATAAATTTTGTTAAAAGTAAGTTAACTGACTATTGATGTCTATCTTGCATTCTTTTCTTGCATCTAATGTGTGATGCTGTTTCTGGTAGCAATGTATAAAATGTGTGCTAATCTTCAGCTTCAAGTACTCTTCACTTAGTGTACTTGTCTCTACATATTGCAGCAGAGAAGATTAACCTGTTTTTGTTTGCAGGAGAGGCAAAGACAGCTAGAGAGCATGGGAATATCACTAGAGTCTTCAGGTATCAAGGTGGGGGATGACAAGTGTTATCTGGTAAACCTGAATGCGGACCCTGCACTCAATGAGCTGCTGGTTTATTATTTAAAGGTAAGAATGCAAACAGGATGTTGATGTGGAATGGAAAAATAACGTGTTTGTTGACTTCAGTTTGTGGCTAAATTCATCATTCAGTGCATATTTAGATTTTTGTAAGACTATTTGGAATTAAAATAAAGCAGGCCTGCCTCTACTGTTGCAGCTTGCATTATCTCTTGCAATTAAGCTTGCTGGTTGCCTGATTGATCTGCCAAATACCAAGTGAAATGTAGTGTGCAAGGTGGGAGAAGTAGTGCTCTCAAGTGTGCTCGTGCTCCCATAAATTCCAACTCTTCCAGCCAGGAACCAAGCAGTATTTTGGCTTAAGCAGTATTGCTGCTTAATTTAAGAGCCTTATATAAGATGCTTCTTTCTATTAGTGAATTGAGGAATGCCTTAAATATTTAATCAGTTAAGCAAAGGGGAATGTGTTTAGTAGTAATCAGTAAGAATACACAGGGATTAATGAGGAGAAAAATAAAATAAAGTTTAAAAAACTCTTAATAATGTATAGACATGTGTTTCCCTGTGTCACTACTTTTCATGCTATTCAGTTTAGCATGGTCTTCATTTCAGAGGGAAAGTGTGAAATACAAACTGAGCAAAGCCAGCTAAGTAGGCAATAGTTTGGAAGTGTAAGTTCCTTGTGAATAAGATAGGAAGGACTGTCCTGTCCAGTTTATAGCTAGTTTTCTGGTTTAGGGACAATGCTTGGGCTTCTGTGTTTGAACAGCAGCAGACAAAATATAGCGACAACGTAAAGCATTTCCACCAGACTTTACAGTATGGCTTCAGGTTACTTGGGGGTCACTATACTTGTCTGAGTGCGTAAATAATATTCCAAAAGCAAGGCTGACTCTGTACCTTGTTTCTTTGTCCAGCTCTTGTACTCTGTCACATAGGGCTGTAAGACATGGTTGGTTTACTTCACTGTATGCATTACCACACACATACATATATATGTGTGTGTGTGTGAATATATATGCATATTTATATGCACACAGAAATGTGTGTGGTTTGTGTATATATACACAGGTATATAAGAGTGTGTATATGTATTATTTGTGTATCTGCACACACACATAAATGTATGTATATGGATATATGCATGCACGCTCATGAGTGTAACCATAGTTTAAGAATATTTTTAAAATTGGTCTGTCAGATGCTTTATTTAAAACTATATTAAGATGAAATACAGTGCAGCAAAGACCTTTATAGTCTTCCTGTCAACTGTGGCACTGTTTCTGCTGTGTAGCTGTGCCTAACAAAGGATCACTACGTGGATTTTGTGGTCTCAGTGCTTCAACTAATATTGTCTTAGTTGTATAAACAGGAGTAGTTTGCTCGCCTCTTAGTAATGGCTTCTTTTCCAGGATCACACAAGAGTTGGTGCAGATACCTCTCAGGATATACAGCTCTTTGGTATAGGAATCCAGCCAGAACACTGTGAGATTGATATTGCTGTAGATGGAGAAGTTACACTGACCCCAAAAGAAAATGCAAGGTAAGGAACGTCAGCTACCACTTAGCCTTTGAAGGGCTTGCTTTTCATTACCAAATGACTTGTCTGCATTTATGTTTTACAAAGTCAGAAATATCTTATATTTGGGTCAGTTAGTAGCTTCAAAACAATTGACTTGGGAATGAAATTCAGAGATAGAACTGAGATTTATATACACATACACACGCACGCTAGGAGTGAAGACTTGACTGTGTGTGTCTAAGGTAGTAAATAAGATGACAAAGATGCTGCTGCTACCCCAAGCTCTGTGGGATGGCAGGCTGCATTTTGATGGGGAAGGATAAATTCTGTAGTTCCTGTTGCAAAGCACGAGGCTTTGCAATGCTCATGTGAGAAATGAGCTAATTGAAAGATCTAAAAACTATGGATTTTGTTACCGGGTAAATAAGATATGAATCCAACTTTCTTGTTTTGTTTCTGTTTCAATATTTTCATTACTTTTCATTTTAGAGGTATTGTGACTTCTTCAGTGGACTTTTTAAAATGGAGTCACATACAAGAGTACGAGAAGGAAAGGTTTGAGGGATATCTTGTTAGTTTTTTTTATTTTTAAGAAACCTTTTCTACTCCTCTTTCAGTAAATTACCTCTTCGAGGCAACTTATGTCTTCTGCAGCCTACAGTACAAAATTTCAAACAGAAGGGATTCAGACTTCTGGTGATAGAGTTACAGTGCTGTAAATCAGTCGTTTTGACTGGCAAGAACAAAGGCACATGTCTGGAAAAAATGTATAATATTTTGTCTTAGTCATGCCTATTCTTAAAGCTTGTGTAGGTGTTCTTCAGATTAGAGTCAACAGAAATAAAAGATATTAGAATTTCAGTGCAAAAATACCCATTTTTTAAATCAAATGCCTACATGCTTATACTGACTTGAGAGGGCTGAAAAGATATTTTTCATTTTACTTAAGGGTGTTTTCCCTTTTAAAATACAATATTCTGCCATATGACTCACAGATGTAAAAGTCAAATAGCTCCATTTTTCCCATTTTATGAATGCAACTTAAATACAAAGAAACTTAGTTGCAAATACTATTTCCCAGATGTTCACAAGAATAGAGCTTTGTGAATAACAGAGGATTGTTTGCTGAAAGATGACACTTCGGTGTCAGGGTCTTTTCTTACACTTGAACGTGTTGTATGTTAACAGTATGTTCTGCAGATGTACGCTGACTAACTTGTGCTTTGGAGATCGTTGTCAGCAGGGTTTCCATGAAACTTAAGTTTTTACAAGAGTGTTTACAAGAAACAGGCTGTGAGAATCTAGTTGGTTTGTGCATCATATGGAAAAGAAATCACTGTGCAGCTGGAAGCAGCTGAGACCTTATAGTTACTTTTCCTCCTTTTGTTTTCAGGATTTCACCAAAGTTCTATTTTTTTTTCTTTTAGATCCTGTGTAAATGGTGCACTAGTGTGTTCTCTCACTCAGTTATGGCATGGAGACAGAATATTATGGGGAAACAACCACTTCTTTAGGTAACCGTTTATATTTCTGGGGCTCTTTGCTTACAGCCCCCTTCTCCTTCCTGCTGTTCTGCATAAACTTTTTAGAAACTAAGTGTTAATTTGTCCAACAGAATCAATTTGCCCAAGAGGAAACGAAGGGACTGGCTGAAAGATTTTGAGAAAGACGCTCCCCTGGGCGAGCATGACCTGGATGCAGCTAGTGAAGCTTCTTCAGAACCAGACTACAATTATGAGTTTGCACAAATGGAAGTTATTATGAAGACACTGAACAGCAATGGTAAGGAAATTGCCACATTCGAGTCCAAAGGCCCTTTTGGATCTTTTGACAAACCCTACGTGGGATTTAATTTCTAGGCACAGCAAATAGTCCAGTTGCTGCAGTGCCCTCTGCATTTTCAGAGGAGTATTTTCCAGGAACGGTGTTATATGTGAGTATAAAATAAGCTGCCTGAGAAGCAAGAAGAAAATGCGTTCAGGGAAAATGCATTCAGGCAACTACTAAACTTATGCTTCAACATGCAAAGTACCTACGTTGGTACCTCTGCTGTCCTTTGTAGCAGAGCTGACTTGTAAACAAGTGCAGGTCTATTCATTGTCCAAGCCCTGCAAACCTCTCCTTTTTTGCAAGCTCCTGCAGAAGTGCACGCTGGCGATGGCTCACTCAGGTTCACGCTTCCTCTTGCACCAAATCACTGACACGATTTTAACCCTCTTTGAAAGACACTGTAGACAAAACAAGCCTGTAGTCAAAATGTCAGCTCGGTTGATTTTGACTTGTGATAACTTTCAATACTTGATCTTTAATTGTTAAAATCTATTGTGATGCCTTTTTTGGGGCAATTTTAATGAAGTAATATGGTATTTTGTAGCTTCTAGAAGTCAAATCATAGTTCATGTTTTATAATATGGTACCAAGATAGGAAAAATCTAGTGGAGTGCTGAGTGCCTTATACATTTTTTTTAAATGCACAGATTTTGAGAGGAATCTTGGAATTTGTCACTGTTCAAGAAAACACAATAAAAAGTATTTCAGTGATATTTCCCGCCCCCTTCATATGTCCCCAGCATTTTCATTATTTGCTGTGTTTTAGTCATCAAAATACAGCATTTTAGTGGTTTTTGTTGTTGTTGTTCCCTTCCTCTTCCACTTTCTCTTTGCTGTTGAGTACAGCATGGTGGCTTTGTACATGTTTGATTCTCTAGCAACAATTTGTTCTTTGCAGTCTGGTTTTGATTTTACTGGAGGTTACTTGTGTGAGTCCACACTTAGTCCATTTAAACTGTCATGAAAAAGATATTTGGTGATAGAAATGTTCTCACTATGGTTCACTCATACCAGGAGATGACTTCCAGATGAACCTGCCGTCCTGGTGGTCTTCAGTGTTGTCATCCCTCGTGAAGATTCTGTTGCCTGTCCTAAGGCCTCAGAGCATCCCCTATTTGTGCCGAAGCTGGGACAAAGGTTTTCCAATTGACTGGCTCGTGCATGAGATGACTGGAGTCATTGGAGGGCATTAACTGGTGCTTGATCTGCTTGTCACTAACTAGAGATTGGAGCAAACGTTAGTAGTGTGCAGTGAGTCGGTGTTGGGTGACTAGAGGAGCACACTTTTTTTTTTTTCTTCATTTTTTAATATCTAGCTGTTGGAAGGGGTGCTTCTGAACATTGTAAACATCTTTATTTTGGATCAGTCAGCTTTTAGTGGATTGGGATCCAGGCCTATTTGTGTGTGTGGACACACTTGCTATTTCCTTAGCTTGGTTTCCTTCCTCACGCGCAGCAGATCTTTGCTCTCCCCTGTGTGGTGCAGCTCCAGAGGAGCTGGGGAGCTGTAACCCAGCTCTCCTGCTGCTCCTCTATTCACCTCCTTCCTGCACAGATGTTTCTCAACCAAGTTGGAGTAATGAGGGTTAATAAACCCCAACAATACAAATAACTATGGTCTTTGATTCCAAGGTTTCTTATGTAACTGGATAACACAGTTTTTCTTCGTCTTAATGGCAAATCAGAAATATCTTTTTTTCTGAGATACTCTCAGCTTGCTGGAGAAGTGGCATGAGCTAAACTTCATCTCTTCATAATTTAAGCTAATGCAGGTCTGTCAAAAACCTGCATTTATTTATTTATTTATTCTTTATATATTTATTCTTTATATATTTATTCTTCTTCTTTATATATTTATTTATTCTTCCTTAAACTGAAAAATAAATGAGGGGGAGGCAGAAAAAATAATACACAGGAACCCTAAGTATCTGCCTGAAGCATTTGAAGACAGTTGCTTCTATCATCTGCTTTCTCTGGAGGAATCACAGGGGAAGAGGAAAAAAGAAGAGTTGTTTTAAGAATTGTACAGATAATTATTTGTGGAAATTTGTGAGTTTTGAGGCTTTTGAGGCATCAGTGATTTGACATAGCCAAAGCAAGGATGTGGGGGTGCTTTTCTTGATGTAGCTGAGAACAGTAGCTCTGTCCAGATGAGCAGCCTGGCTTCTCCATGGCACAAACACGCTACCGTTCCTGGCGTGTCAGCTCTGCCGCGGAGCCCTCTGTTACATCCAACTCTAGGAAAGTTCCCAGGAAAGTGTTGGGCTTTGGAGAGAGCTATGAACTAACCACCCACACTGCCCTGCTCCCCTGCCCCAGTCACCACGCTCATTTATCTTTGTGAGATTTGGATCAACTTTGCAAGACAAACTTGAGATGCTGATCACAGGAATGCATCGCAGAAATATACCTTATTTCTGTGTGTTTTTCAGGTTTTAAGTAAAGGATTTGGTTAGGTTACATGGCATTCCAGTTAAGTTCACAAACAAACCAAAAAAACAACTTGCATATCAGGCTGGGAGCTAGTGTTTAAATCTCTCTCAAGCACTGTTATCAGCTCTGAATAGTGGCAGTTTTCACTGTTTATAGCTTCCTCATGTAGTTAAATGATTCATAATTTACCTTCATGATCTCTTTAGAGAAGTTGTCTTCAATTTAATCTTAAAACATATGAATTTGAATTGTATTGAAATGCAAAATGCAAGTGCCTGATAAACTGCATGATATCCCTGTGTGTTTTTGTTTTTAAGTACTAGTGACTTTGCTTTTTCTAACTCAAGAAAGACTAGTTTTCTTTGCGTCTTGTGCCAAATATTTTCCTTAGGAAAACTTGACTGTGTGCGGGGGATGTGATCCTCTAAATCTAGCTGAAAAGTTCACTTGTATTAAGGAATTTAGAGTCACAGACTAGCTCAGGTTGGAAAGGACTTCTGGAGACCATAGAGTCCCCCCTGCTCATGACAGGGTCACCTATAGCTGGTTGCCCATGGATCCATCTAGAGAGGCTTGACTATTTCCAAGAAGAGGGAGTCCACAGCTCCTGGGGTGGGTTGGTTTGTGGGGATTTTCTTGTTTAGTTGTGTTTTGCTGGGCCCATGTTGCGTCCCAGCAGGGCCGAGCAGGGGGGCAGCGTCGCCTCCCTCCAGAGGGGCCAGGCTGGGTCTTGCCCCGGCCTGGCCTGGAGGAGGTTCCTCTGTGCCCCCCGTGAGCCAGTTCTGCAGCATCTGCCCCTCACCCTGTACCCTTGGGTTCCCTCTTGGAGAAGCTGAAGAAACTCCTTGTTTCAGTGACTCAACCTTAAATTCATTTCCTGTATTTCCAAACAAATTAGAGAGCTTTAATTGCTTCCATGTCTGTTCATCTTCTGCATAATATATCTGTGGGATTTTTTGTGTGTATGTGAGTGTTTTTAACCATTCTGAAACAATTAAAACTGTTCAGGCCGTGATGCAGACACCTGCAGACAACCTTGGTAGTGTCCGGAGAGGGGAAGAGGAGGAGGATGCTACAGATGCCCATCAGCACCTTGCTTGGCACACTGGCTATTAGTGCTTGGTCCAGCCTATCTCCAGCGTTGCACTGCCTGCTTAGGAGCTGAAAATAGCCAGCCTTCTTTCTGGGAATATCGTGTTCTAAAAAGCAGCATTTGTGGTTATTTTAAGCCTGTTCTGGAGCACGCAGTGTTTTGCAATTCGGTTGCTATTTATGCTGACGGCTCTTTAGCTTGATGCTTGTCATTGCCACCACGGCCCTATTTCACAGGGCCTTTGTGCAAAGCCAGGGGCTTTTCCCGCTGACGGGGATAGGGCCTCACCAGCCACTTGCAGCAGGGTGTATTTTCTGCTCAAAATGCACCTTCTGCTAAACTTAATACTTCAAGAGGAAGGATGCTGGGAGGCAGATACAAATTCTTAACAGCAGCACCCTGGAGACCACGTTTCCTTCCCTGGCATTTCTAATAAGAATAGTGTGTAAATACCCATTGATGTTAAAGTTACAAATAGTTGCTTAAATTATCTTTTGCTAAATCAATCTGAATAGTTTTAGTATATGGCAGTTGCTGTGACTTGCTGAATGCAGCAATGCTACATTGGCCATCATACACTACCATGGGTGGACACCCTATAGAGCCCTTCCTATAAATTAGCGTTTAATCCTCTAATAACCCAACTTCCAATTCGTGCAACATTGCAGGGTTAGGGAGACTCGCACAGAATGTTCCTGGGGGTGGTGTTTGCTATTCAAGGCAAGATGGTTCATAAGGAAGTCGTGCTGCATTTGCTTTGTTTTGGGGGTTCGTTTGTGTGAGAAAGGTACCTCCATCTGTGGAACAGGATGATACAACGGAATGCAGCTTGTATGTGTATTTCTGTTTGTTTGTTTGTTTTCTCTCTCTCCCCCTACCTTGTGACAGGCTGGCATCCTTTAAAGGCATAGCAGCCCTTTCAAAGTGATTTTGTTTCTCCTCTTTGCCAAATGGAAAAGGTTTCACAAGCGTTTGCTCGTTTTAAAGCTGCAGCTTTGCATGGGAACGTTTCTCTTGCTGCCCCTGCAGCTCCTGCAGCCCGCGGGGCCGCTGCCGCCCAGGGGCACCCAGCTGGTACCCAGCGCAGCAGCCTGTCGCCCGCACTGGGCTTAGGCTCTCACGTGTGCGTGCATGAATCCAGTCTGTACTGGCAGCGTACAGAGCAGCTTGTGACACTGAATTACCCTTTCAGAGGCACAGTTTGTACCTAGACCTTTAGGTACACCAAGCGATGCTGCCTTAACGTGCATGCAGTTTCACTAAACTCCTGGTTGGCACAAGCAGTTCGTGTTTCTGGCTTTAGGATTCAGCGGGATACTTGCTGTGAGCGGTAGTGGCATGAAGTGTGCTGCTAAATGCAGGAGTCGCCTCCGGGATGCAGTTTGCTTCGTGTTGTGCAGCGCACGGGCTCAGGGCCCGCGTGACCGTGTTCACACAGTGGGTTTGTCTCCGTTTTCATCTGCTGCCCTCCATCGTGTTCATTCTCTGCCAAAATGGAGAAAGTAACTGCTTTGCCTTCCTCAAATCACTTCCTTCACTGGCTGACATCGTCTCCTTTTGTGTCTTGCTTTGTTTCCTTATTTTCTTGATTAATTTATCCCTTTTTCCATCCATTCTTTCTTTCCTACTGGGATTCTGGAACATACTCAGAATTCACAATACTGAAGTTTGCAGCTGGAGTGAGTCTCAGCCATTGCTCTATCTTTCTGCATGCCGTATTCTTTCATGTTTGCATTCATTTATTTGGGCTTTTGGACTGTGAGTTTTTAAAAGCAGTGTGGCCATCCTGTGTTTGGAAACAGCTTGGGATGTCTTGATTATTGCTGCCATATGAATAACAAAAGCGTTTGTTCTGTAATGCTGAAATGGCACTGTCTCACTTGTTGCCGGTTTTGTTTGCTTTCAGACCCGGTGCAGAACGTGGTGCAGATTCTGGAGAAGCAGTACCTGGCGGAGAAGCGGAGCGCGCTGGAGGAGCAGCGGCTCATGTACGAGCGCGAGCTGGAGCAGCTGCGGCAGCAGCTCTCCCCGGAGCGGCAGCACCCGCACGGCGGCGAGAGGCTCGCGTACGCGGCGCACGCTGCTCAGCACAAAGTGAGCCTCTGGGCAGAGGAGAGGTGAGAATCGCACAGTCACACAATCCTTAAGGCTGGAAGGGACCTCCAGAGGTCATCTAGTCCAACCCCCTGCACACGCAGGGTTACCCGGAGCACGGGGCACAGGGCTGCGTCCCAGCAGGTCTTAAACATCTCCAGAGGAGGAGACTCCATAACCTGTCTTGCCAACTCGAGTAAGAACTACTAGGAGGGCAAGTGAAAGATCCAAGTTGAACCACCTGGCAGAAACTTGACAATTTATTTTTTTCATAGCATTAAACAGCAGCACAAGCTCCACCTTTGGCAGAATGCAAGCATTTGTTTTCAGATTATATTCTGACACGTGAAGTGGGTACAAGGTCTTCCAGTTTGATTTAATAAACCATTAGCATAAGGATTTAGCTTTTATTGGTCAGTGTTACAGTATTTTTTATCAATTCTTAAAGTTAAAAAGAAATTCTACTAAAATGTTTGATTTAACGCTTACAGGTGAAGTTAATTCTGGGAAGAAAGGATAGCATAGGAACAAGCTTGTCCATGCTGACTAAGGAGTCTACTCAGGCACATTCTTTGAGAATATACAATGAAAAGGGTATTTTGTAATCCGAAGGATTACAAGGAAGGCTCCAAGTTTTGCATGTGCATTTCTATAAGTAAGCTCAGCTTCAGAGGTGGCTTGCTATAATTGAGTATTGGTGAATGGTCAAGCACAATGTGTTGGAAGTGCTTGGGAAGTAGTGAGAGAGGGGGCTCGTGGTGAGGTGAGACAGCAGGAGCCCCTTGGTTGGGGAGCAGCCTGGCCCCTAAGGCAGCCCTGGAGAGGGATGGTTGGTGACTGGCACGAAGAGTGTAAGGAGTGGGCTAGGGAGGTGCGAGCAGAACTGAAGCAGTGTGTGTTTGCATCTTGAAAATGAGAGAAACTTGTTCTTGGTTTTAGCGGGGAGACTAGGATGTTCATGGAGATGAGTTCTAGGGCCAGTGATGTGAGATGATTCAGCCTTCAATTACCGTGTGTTGGTACACAAACATACTCTGCCGTTAAGTTTGTTCAGAAGGATAAATAACCAGGTGTACTGCTAGGTTTTCTTATAAGTTTTTGCTTTATTTCCTTCTGAATGTTTGTCTTTTGAAACAGAAGCTTCATTATTTATTCAGGATTTTTTTTTCTGTTCTTGGTGACTCCAAGTGCTCTTTTTTACTTTTCCTTTATTCTCTACCTTAAGAAATCCTTCTACAAGAAAAGTCAACACAAAGCAAGCCAAGACTGAGTTTCAGCTTTTAAATGTGAAGTGTTAGATACAGAACAGGTCTAGTCCTATATACCCTGCTTGGTTTAGTGTTTGTATAAGGTCTTGTTTTGTCATTCCTGCCAAGTTTGGCCTGGAAAAAAAACAAAACCCAATCTGCTCATGCACTCCACTAATGATGACTAGAATGTTTTCCATGGCAAGTATGGGGAGAAATGTTGCTCTGTTTCAGCTTTAATTAAAATAATTGTTCCGTCAGAGCTATAAACAGAATCTTGGTATTGTGAACTGAATGTAAATTATCACGGTGTAAGTTATGGCTGTGATTTTGCAGACTGTTCTAGTGCTGTGGCAGCAGAGTGAAAGAAGATGCGCTCTGGCCGGGATCATTCCTGCTGTTCGGAACTGGCTGGAGCGCAGCGAAGCCATTGGGAAGTCTTTGATAAATCACCTCAGTAGCAGAGATGAGAAGGGGGCTTATTGGCAAGGGAAGGGGCACCTTTGAAAGGACAGAGTGGGAGGAGCAGGAAATGGTAAAAATCTTTTTGTCTGTCCTTGACTATGAAGAGGAAAAGAAAGTTGCAGCTGGTGAGCTCAAAGTTACCCAACCACCACATCAGTTTATTGATGCACCTGGTGAGAATGCAGGGTGGTATCAGGGGTCGGGGGCCTGACCTCTGTTTTCTCAGTAGTTTCTAGCAGCTGCTTGGCAAGGGGCTGGGCTTCTCACAAGTGTTCTTGCCTCTGGAGTTCATAGGTGAATACTTGGTGCATCTGTTGAAATGTTTCGGGACTGTACTTGCTACGTTGTTATTGAAGAATGAAAAGCACACACAGATGCCATTTGTAGTGGTTAATAAGGGGGCTGGTAATGTTTCCCTAGCACTGCTGTATGAGTAAGCAGTTTTCTATCCAGAATATCTTGCATTTTTCGGCTCTGGAAGAAGCTTAGGCTTCTAGGGAAAGGAGGAAAAAGAGAGAGAGAGAAAAGAAACTTTTGGATCTTTTCATTTAAGAAACCAGAGTAACTCTTAAGGGGATTTCTGCTTTCAGAGCATGGCAACATGTTGCTGACAGGGTACTCGCCAACCAACTGGGCAGAGCTTGAGTACTGCAGAAGCGGTGGGGAAGGCTCTGTGTGAAGGACGTGTAAAAGAGCCACATCCTTGGATTGCAAAGCCTGTAACTGGTGCAGCTTGGCTGTGGGTCAGCCCACAACCCTGGAGCAGCCAGCAGCGTGGCTTAGCCCGGGATCAGATGTGGGCACGTGGCTGTGTCTGCCAAACGAGCCGGGACACGCCGCGCCGTTCGCTCGAGCTTTGTGCCGACGGGAGGAGGGCAGACGTGCCCGGATCCACTGTTAGAGCCTGTGGGGACAAAGGCAGCTCATCCTAACTCTGAACAAATGTAGTCTCGGGGAAGGAGACGGTACTGGAGCAAACTTCAAAGTGTTTAGAGTTTTATTTCAGGTATTAAGAATCCCAGACACTTACAGTGACAACTTTTAAGTGTCAGATTTGATTTTGTTGCTGTTGTTGTTGTTTCAGGATTTCATGTTCAGTAGTTTTGGCTGATGTTCTGACGGAGCTTAGTATTTATCTTGTTTTGTAAGAGTTAAAATGTCTCATCTGAAACATATTTTGCTACCCTGTGTTTCTGGAGAGGCACTCACACAACTCCATACACAAAATTAGAATTACAAAAATACAAAAAGACAATGATTACTACCTAAAATAATAGTTTGGCTGAGCTACTATAACAACTCTTAAACCATTCCCTTCTCCAAAATCTGATCAAGAAACAATTGGTGCTGAAGCATCTCCACGAAGCTAACTAGATCCAGGTTTGGGGATCACGGAGGGCCTGGTTAGAGCTGAATCCCATGCTCCGTAAGTACTTAAGGATCAAAGCAGGTGTGCAGTGCACCCCCGGGCACAAAGCACCAGCCAGGGAGCAATTCCTGACCCTACCTTCCTTTCTTCTTCTGAGTGAATTAAAAGTTGCAGCTGTCTGTGCAGGGAATCTCTCCCGTAGTCCAGAACTGCTCATTTAATCTTGCTGGCCTGGACAGCAGGAGCAAGGACAGGGAAGGCAGTTCTGCGCGCTGCAGCTGGGGAGGAAGAGGATGTAAAGATCTGCTGCCTTTTAAGGTCCAGCAAAAGGCAGCCCTGCTTGCTAATGCTGCCAGGCATTTCCCACTGCTCTGTAATTCCACGTGGAGGGACCATCCCAGTGCACTTGCACCTGCCCAGGCTGTGTGCTTTGGGATATCTGGAAAGAGCCCCTCCAGGGCTGTTTCCGGGGATTAAAAGGCACATTAACAGTTCTTCATGGCTTGTGCTGTGAAGGCATCCAAAAGATCTGACCATATCTCAAGAAGGGCAAAGGGGCCAACTTTACCTGTGTTGGCAGCCAAATCCACAGAGTTCAGTTGTTCCTCCCAGCCTTGTGACTAACGTGGTGTGTTTGGTAGCGATTAAAAGTATGTGCACGATGCATTTCAGTAGGGTTTTGCACAGGAAAGCGGCACGTTGGTACGTAGGAGTGGTAGCCACCCAAAAATCTGAGATTTGACCCTAAGGCCCGTGTAACAGGAGATAACAGGGTGCAGCAGCTGCAGCTGGGCTCCTGCAGGAAGGCAGGAGGGGCCTTTCACTCTCCGTTTGCTCAGAGGAAAACCATGGAGAACTTTAAAGGCGAAATAAAGATGAGGATCCTCGGTGAGAGGTTGTCTTTGTATCACACATGGAGGTGAGCATGTGCCCTTGCATCACACTTTGTACCGTACAGCACGGGCCGTAGCAGGGTTGCCAGGCTTTGCAATAGAGCAGGCTGGCTCGGAGGAGCGTCGGGAACCTTTTTGGAACTGGCTGCACAGAGTGTACAGGTTATCAGCCTGCATTCATTGATCTATTATTTACGAGGTGCCTCTGGTTTACAGAATGGGACTTTGTGTGTGTGTGTGTGTGTGTGTGTGTGTGTGTGTGTGTGTGTGTGTGTGTACGCACTGGAGCTGGCTGAGGGCCAGCTCTGCAGCACTGCCAAAATCCCCCAGCCCCCTGGGTGTCATGTGGGGGTGCAGGGATCCCAGGTGCCAGCACCGGGACCCCAGGAACAGCAGTTTTATCAAGATAAAGGATCGCGGGAGGGGACTGATACTTTCTGTGCAAGGAGACTCCGGATTACCGGGCAGGGCAGCTGCAATTATTCCATGCCTTGAAAGCCAGGAATATCCCTCGGGCCTTTGGCAGATTAGCCTTGTAACAACTCCCACAGTACCCTGCCCTTTTATTTGGGCGCTGCAGTGCTTGGCCTCTCTCAACACCCGCATGTGTTTTAATAGGTGCCAAGTGCTTTTCAGTACAATTGTCTTCAATACAATTGTTTGCTAATGTAGTGCTATACAGCATTTCTTCTTCATTTTATTTGAGAAAAGTCTTTGTTAGCCCTCCTATTTGCAACCTTCCAATAATGGAAATAGGTTTCTGTGTGTTTTTCATGTTACCTACTGCACCACAGGGATGAATTGTTTCGACAGAGCCTGGCTAAGCTTCGAGAACAGATAGTAAAGGCCAATACGCTGGTGAGAGAAGCCAACTTCCTAGCAGAAGAAATGAGCAAGCTAACGGATTACCAAGTAACCCTCCAGATCCCCGCGGAAAACCTCAGTGCCAACAAAAAGGTAATAGGAAGTATCAGTCCTGGAAAATGGAGAGGTTCTGATGCTCATCTGAAGTGCATAAGAATGTATGACATTCAGCCAACTTAACGACATAATTTAATAAAGAGGATGTTTTATGTAGCACTCAAAATATGGATGCTACCTAGTTTTAATGCTTGGAAAGTGGATGGGTAAAACGAAAAGTTAGATTGTCACATTAAGTATGGATCTTGTTCTTTCAGATGCGTGATAGTCATATGCAGTTTGCCAAGAAGCATTTGCATTATGTTGTTGTAAAATCTAAGCAGAATGTTCTACTTTAGTTTCTCTTATGTTAACAAAAATTGGTAATAATTTTGGCAATAGATCCCTATATTATTTTGTATTAAGAGTGAGTCTCTAGTCGTAATGTTCCTACAAATACTATATCAACTAAGATGGTGTACTTGCCACAATTGATTTAAGTGAGACTATTCTTAATGTTACTCTGTGAACAAAATCCAGCTGAGAAGGACAAAAAACTTAGGTTGGACCTTCACAGCCTAAGTGATGTTGTACTTGAGAGCGGCAATAACATGGGTGGCATGCAGAGGGAAGCTCTTTATTCTACATAGCAGTGTAACTTGAGTGAAGGGGGAAGCTACTCGCGAGCCTTTCCTGCTGTGATGCCTTTTATTTTCTTTTCCCTCCCTCTGGTTTAGCGGGGTGCAATAGTAAGTGAGCCTGCTATTCAGGTGAGAAGAAAAGGAAAAGCTACTCAAGTGTGGACTATTGAGAAGCTGGAGAACAAATTGATCGATATGAGGGACCTCTATCAAGAATGGAAGGAGAAAGTTCCTGAGGTAGTATACACATATTTTTGAACCCCCTTTTAATATGCTGCACTGATGAAAACAAAAGATTCCATATATGAAACGGTGCCGTACAGTTGATGATTTTTATTTACCACAGTGCTAAATGATGAGGATGATCATGCAGAGTGAAACACAGCTGTGCTTTCTCCTCACCAGCATCCTCAAGCCAAATGGCAGTGACTCGTGATGCCAGCAAGGATGTGTCTTTACCTGGCACAGGGTCGGTGCCACACAGATGTGCACTGGCTCTAAGTGGGAGCAGAGGAACCCCTTAAAAATGGGGTGACTGCTTTGCTGAGGGGAAGGGGAGGATAGGAGGAGGAGAAAGTATAAGCAAGCTCTGCCCTCAGTGCAGGCTGCACCAGGAATCTGCGCGAATTATTTGTGGATGGAGCACTTGTAGGGAATTCCCTTTTGCACCATGATATTTTACTTGGCGGTTATTTGATCCCCGTGTAGCTTACAGGTTTTGAAATAACTTCTGTGTTTTTTAAATAGCTAAGGAAGATCATTGGCAAAAGAGGCGATCCCTTTTATGAAGCACAAGAGAACCACAACTTAATCGGCGTCGCCAACGTCTTCCTGGAGTGCCTCTTCTCCGACGTGAAGCTGCAGTACGCTGTGCCCATCATCAGCCAGCAGGGCGAGGTAACGCGGAGTGGCACCTTAACCTATAGAATCCATAACGTATCCAGTGGCGGGCCGGGAAAGCTTTGCCCCGTGGGTGCTGCTGGAAGACTTAATGCACAGCACTTCTTAAACAAGAACAGGGATGCTTCTCATCTTGTTTCCCAGGGAATGTTTTGGAAGTGGTATCTTTCCTTGTGATTGCTTAAAGTTGCTCGGCTACTGAAAGTGTAAAATGAATTTCCTGCTATGATTTCAAGTAACTAAGTAAAATTAAGTAGCTTAAGCTTTTGATGTATGGCCTTAAGTGCTCTTTGTGTGTAAATCAAAAAAAATAAAAAAATAGTGAGTGCATGCATGCTTGCATGCTATGTGCAAGCATTTTTTTCATATTTCATTCCTTGTCTTTCCTTCATTTGCTGCTTTTAGACAGAACTGGCTGGTGGTTTCTCTGCCTCCTGGGAGCAACTGTCGCTTTCCTAATGTCTTTACAGCCTTTTTCTTTTTGCCCGGGTACTTAGGATTTGTCTCGCCCTAGGTTGCAGGGCGGCTGCATGTCGAAGTAATGCGGATCACCGGCTCTGTCCCAGAACGTGTCGCAGAAGGGGATGACTCATCTGAGAACTCCAGTGAGAGTGGGAGTCTGGAAGTCATGGATAGCAATGGCGAAATTATCCAGAGACCAAAAAAGCTCTCCTGCAGGGTGAGTGAGAAGACAGACCGAAGTTATATAGGTACAAAGCTGCAAACTGCTACGTAGTTACCATCGAACATAAAATACTATGGGGGATATTGCCTGTTTAACATCCCCTAAGACATTAGGTGCAAAGAGAGACCTAAGTGGGATCCAGCAGAGTCTAGCTCAGTCTGACTGGCTGTAGTTGCTACTGACTGAATTAATTCACTTTAGTTTCTATTATGCGTAGGTCAACATTATAAATACTGACACTACAAGGACTGCCCTCCTTGGCCAACACGGCAAGGAAACACTTTATCCATATAGCAGCATCTTTTTTAAACATTATCTTGAGTTTATTGATCTCTCCCAAGAAAACATATATAATGTTGGTCAGGTAGGATGTGCGTAGCTGTTTCCTTGCAACTGTGTTGCTTTAGTTATTAGATTCTTTAGAAAATTGCTACTTTTAAACACTTTACAACTGAAGAGCATCTCTGAGAGCATCTGCTTTGTCTCCTCAGGTGAAAATAAAAGAAGCGACTGGCCTGCCACCGAACCTCTCCAACTTTGTCTTCTGTCAGTATATGTTTTGGGATCAATGTATATCAACAGTAGTGGCACCAGTGGTAGGTCCAGATGTGCCTTCAGCTCAGAGCAAAGACGCTCATTTTACAGTGACCTTCTCTCACTGCAAGGTAATTAATTGCTCTTATCACATACTCTTATCAGAAGGCTGGTATGATGGAGGAAAAACTACTTAGAGTTTTAACCTTGTCTTCCATGGGGGAAGGAGAAGAACATCTAGTTATATGGCTAATGACTTTCTGCTGTAGTTTAATGCAATAATATTTTGCATCATCATCTCTGCAAAATGTAGCAAGGAGCAAAAATTATTTTGTAATACGCAATCTTTTGGGTTCATCTCCCCATGCCATCTTTACTGTGTATGGAAGCTATAGTTTTTGTAATGAGGTTTTTATTTTGCACTTAGCTGGTAAGTTCAGTAACTCTAAGGAGATTATTGGAGCTGTGACATTTTTATGGAAGTCTTCAAAACATGAAAATTTATGCATTAAATGCATAAACAGGAATTGCTGAGAATATTTTTTCTTAGCCTGACCAGAGTCAGGCCTTATGACCAAACTGTAAGATTTTACTGCGCTCAACTGAGGAGTTTGAATTATGTCATTTAGATGTGAGCTTTTTCGCTTTGTTTCCAGGACTATGTGGTGAATGTCACAGAGGAGTTTTTGGAGTTCATTTCAGAAGGAGCTCTTGCTATAGAGGTCTGGGGTCACAGGTGTACAGGCAACGGCAGCTCCATTTGGGAAGTGGATTCTCTTCATGCTAAAACTAGGACACTGAGAGACAGGTATGAATAAGCTACCCCCAAATTATTTCCACGTAGCTTTCCAAAGTTTTTCTGACACTTGTAGCACTAGCAAAGCTATTACACTGTTGTGACACAAGTGTTTGTTTCTGTGGGGATTTTTTTTTAGGTGGAATGAAGTAACTCGACGAATAGAAATGTGGATTTCCATACAAGAACTGAATGAGATGGGAGAGTATACCGCAGTTGAACTCCACCAGGCAAAGGATGTCAACACAGGGGGCATTTTCCAGCTTAGGCAGGTATGTATCTTTCCCTTGACATCTCATTTATGCCAAAGTTCCTGATTTTTATTCTCATCTTCCTTTTTTTTTTTTTTTTTTTTTTTCCCCCCCTCTGTCTGTGTGTGTGTGTGTGTGTGTGTGTGTGTCCCTTCTCTTGATTGCCTCTTCAGGGCCATTCTCGCAGAGTGCAGGTGACGGTGAAGCCCGTGCAGCACTCGGGCACGTTGCCCCTCATGGTCGAGGCCGTCCTCTCAGTCTCCATAGGAGGTGTGACAGCCAGGTCAACTAAGCTGCAGAGGGGCCTGGACAGCTACCAGGTAGGGCAGCTACTTCTCCAGGCACTGGGTTATTTTGTGTAGGGAGCACTTTTCCCTCTCCTTTTTTTAACCGTTGTTTAATCTGCCCAACACAGTCTCCAAAAGAGCCCTTAGCGCACTGGCCCGTGCTTTTATCCTGCAGGTTTGCACGTGTCTGAGGATAACAGGTAGAATGTAAGCCTATGGCACTGGATCTACTGCTTTTTCTGCCTGCTTATCACTCGGTATATAACTGAGAGCCAAGTGTAATATTTGAATATGCACAAGACAGCAGGAGTATGAAAGTGTGGCGGGGTGTTGTTTATTTGGTTTATTTTACTTTTGTGTGTAGGGGTGAAATATATGGTAGCTTTCTCACTCAGTTTTCCTCCATTAAAAGGGATGCTGAAAGTTGAGGAGGAGGAAAAAAAAAGAAATTAATTCAATAGGTGGAGAAAATATTTCGTAATGAGACCCTGTTTGTCTCTTCCAAAAGGACTGAGCTGTTACTTGATCACATACAGTCATCACCAAATGCCAAAGGGCTCTTGAAGCTAGCAGAACAAGCTCTTGATAAGAATAAGTGGCTTGAAGCCATTTGAAGCTGATACTGGCCAAATTCATACTGAAAATAAAGACCTCTTTTAAGGGTAAGGGCGAGGAACAAGTAGAAAGAGACCACCTAGGGTGGTGAGGAAGTGAGTGGGTGCATTTGTCAAAAGTTACATTCAGAACCACAAGCAATTAGCCTAAATGCAGATGAAACTGGAATGTAAAGGATGGTGATATACTAGGGCAGGCCTTTTCTGGGACTACATTCAGTGTGGGGGTTGGTTTGTTTGTTCGTTTTTTCCCCAAATATATTCACCAATAGTGAGATGCTATAGTCTATAGGAAAGAAAACTCTCATTCTACCTATTAAATGGAACTCTAATGATTTGAATTTTGTAACTTCAGAATTTTACGGTTTTCTGTGGCAGAAATGTTTGTATATACCAGTTTGGGGGTATTTCTGTGAGTTTCTGTTGAGAAAAATGCATGTTCTTTTGTGTTTTACAAAATTTATTTTCTCCTACCAGAAGGATGATGATGATGGTGGTGATATGGATAGTTACCAGGTATTGCTGCTGTTGCTGTCAATCCTATGGCATGGGGCACAGCTAATGCTAATAGCCAGCAACTTCCAAATGAATAAGCATTCTGGAGCGAGCAGAAGCAGCTTTGACACACATCCTGTGCATTTCAGAGGCTCCTTGGGCTATAAAACGTTTCTATTTCAGTGTGTCCTGTGACTTTACACTCTTGCAGTGCTCTTTTCGCTAGCACTCAGCAACCAGCTCTTCTAACTGACTCTATGAATTGCTATATGAACATGAGCTTAGCAACTTCAGCTTAGAAAGAAAATAGCTTTTAGAAAATATCTTAGGAAAGAAGACTGCAGCTGCATGAATTTTTGCCAACCAAAATGTGCCACACAGATTTTTTGGTTTTGTGGGCTTTCTGTTTTCCTAAAGAAAATGTTCTTTTCTTTTAAGCTATGCAGTTCTCTGAAATGCTAGTGATGAGAGTGCAAGTTATGACTGCAGGAAATACACAAGTCCTGTGAAGCATTTTTGTATTTCAAGCTCATCTAAAAGAAAGCAGACTTTCAGCTTGGCTTTCTTTGGGATAAGTAGATGTCACAGCCACAATTTTACAAGTGTAAAAGAACAGTCACATAAAAATGATAAAAGGGAGAGGAGGAAATACCTGTAAAAGAAAAACACAGAACCTCTTTTTGAAGCCTTAATTACAGGGCTTTACAGAATTTAAACCCATTGGTCAAAAACGTTCCTATCCCTGAGGGGAGTTGATGAGGTTTCACGGCAATCTCAGAACTGTCAGTTAGGCACTAACTTCTTGCGGGCTGTTTTTGCGCTTCCTGGCAAATCGGGGAGAAGAACAACCTACATCTCCCTGTGGGACCACAGAGCATGATTGCATGATGGGTTTTGTTTGCATGAGAAATCTCTTAATTTGCACTGATGGCAGCTGCCAGCTATGGAACTTCGGGCAGGTTAAGGGAATACTGACCTGTCTGATCTTCAGGAGAACTTATGATCAACTGCTGATACCTTTTTTGTTTTCTTTTCCTTACTGTTAAAAAGTTTGATTGTCCTTTGTATGAATGATTAGCTTAGTCTTATACATAATTCTATAGTACGACTGAGGAATAGTTTTCTTTTCCTCCTGTTGGATTTTGAGACTCAAAAGCAAATGAGCTTCCATTCATGGGTGATGAACTTCTTGATCAGTATGCATGTTATTGGGGGGGAAAACTGTTTTGCATTGTACAAGCTGCTCAAAAGCAATTCTGATGACACTGCCGGAGAGCTCTCTAGCCTGTATTAGGCTGAGGTCGATGTTAACTGTCCTTTCTCCTTTGGCATTAGGAAGAAGATTTAAACTGCGTGCGAGAAAGATGGTCTGATGCACTGATAAAGCGCCGAGAATACTTAGATGAGCAGATTCAGAAGATCAGCAATAAACAAGGTTTGCAATTTAAAAACTTGGGAATTTCTCTTGCAAGCACTTGGTTCTCCTTAATATCAAAACCACCATAAATATCATGTTCATCTTTGTACTGCAGAAAAATCAGAGGACGATCTAGAACGGGAAGCCCGGCTCGTGGAACAGTGGGTAGGGCTGACGGAAGAGCGGAACGCCGTGTTCGTGCCCGCGCCAGGCAGCGGAATTCCTGGCGCCCCCGCAAACTGGTATGTGTCCCGAAAAGCTTGGGAATGCCTAGGGTTTTCCTTGTGGGAGCATTGCAGACTGCGCAGTAAAAACCTGAGGATGGACTTTATAGCTGTCTGTGGCCTCCTGAGCTGGCACAGTTTACACCAAGCTGGCAGAATGGCTAGAAAATCGGGTTGTAGTTTGAATGTAAAGGCAGGTTTGCTTAATTTATGTGTCATATGAACTTTCAAAGTTACATATCCACTTCAGTCCATGAAAGGCTGCTAGCTTTTATGTATAAGATGACTAAAATATATACTCTTATTTTATGATATTATGTAAAAAGAATCAATTTAGTAAGAAACTGATCAGGACATTGAAAATTGTCATTCTTATGGCAATTGAAATGTGCTGTGCCATGTGAAATAGGTTTTAGTAAAGCTCTACATTTAGTTGTATATGTGGATATACAAAACATTCTTTATGTGATATATGCACCAAAATGTTGAGAGCTTTAATCATTGGTTGCAATTTCTATGACCATTGCCGTGAGTTTGCCCATACTCACTTAATTTAAGGTTAGTTTAAGCCTTGCCTTCCTTGTTTAAACAGCAAACCATCTGTTTTGTTTCAGGGTTCCCCCTGCAGGAATGGAGACGCACATCCCTGTCCTCTTCCTTGACTTGAATGGTATGTTGCAATGGCACGTGAAGGCTTTTGGTAGAACGACAAAATTTAGCTTGGATCAGTCAGTTGATAAGTGGAAAAGTGAATCTGAAATGTCCAAGAAAATACCAACAACTTTCGGTGCTGACACCGGCTGCTATAACTTTCAGAATGTTGTTGGGTTTTTTTTTTCTCTTTATCTTTTTCTTCTGAATCTGTGTATTGGAATAACTAGGCACAACAATTTTAAAATTTACAGGAAAGAATTGGGGAATATATGAGTGCATGGATAAACAATGCAACAGAAAATAGCATGAGAAAGCAAGTTTAATGAAATCCACATTTCATTCAAGCACCAATAGAAAATCTCCCAAGTGTTAGAGCACTGAGATAGCTGCAGGGGTTTGAACAGCTGGTTTCATGAAGAAGGTATTCAGGGTGTGATGAATGTTTTGTTGGGGTATCTAAGCCTTCTCCCACTGAAGACACTTAGTCTTCCGTGTGAGAGAGCTTTTGGGTTAACTTCCTAGGGCACAGATAAGGAGTAAATACGAGGAGACTACCATGAGGACTGTGTTCAAGAAGTGCTTAGGGAGCAAACTGCTAAGCCTAAGCTTGGGCACGAAGCAGAAGAGCATCCACAGGCTCCCTCACACCCAGCACTTGCCTAGGCCAGGAGGTAGGTTCAGAGAGGCCTCACACTAAGGGCTGCTTTTCAAAGATGATGAACATTCCTCGTGTGTGCTCACAAGAGATGCTTTTATTTGCTTGTGTTTATTATCAGAGGAGAGTTGGCAGGCAGAGAGCCAAATGGGATATTTAAACAGATCCATGGATCGTTGCACAGCTGCTAAAGCCTAATGCAGCCAGAAATGTTATTCTTGTTTTAAGATTCCCTGATACATCAGAAGTGATTTAACTCAAAGAAGAGCTTGTCGGGCTGACATGTGGAATTTTCTGGCTCAGTGAATTAATTTTATGAGTATCTAGCTGTAGTTTTGAAATCTGCTCAGGCCACATGTGAGAGAATGAGTTTGGAGAGAGGCAGCTTGGCTTTCCTCCCTGCTTTGGTGTGCTGAAGTCATCTTCAGATGGCTTCATTCAAACGCAAATATTGCCTGGTAGCAAGATTGCTGTAGCAGGGAAAATGGATAGGATTTTATGATAACTTTGCCTCTCTCCATTAATATTCCTTGTCATCCTTTTTCTTGCCCATTCATTTCCTTAGCTGATGACCTCAGTGCCAACGAGCAACTTACAGGTCCCCATGCATCAGGAGTGAACTCGATACTACCAAAGGAGCACGGGAGCCCCTTCTTCTACCTACCCATCATCAAACACAGTGATGAGGAGGTACATAGTCCTCTAGGCAACAGTGACTTGCAGTAATGCTGTCTTCTTTTGTTCCCTTTCTGCTTGTGTATATTTAATCTTTAATTCTATTTTTGTCTTACAAATATCTAAATCTAGATCTGCCTCTATTTTTTGGTAAAGTTGTTTAAGATCTGAGAGAATGTGACTTGTTGGTTCTTCTGCCTTAATGCAAAGGCAATGAGTTTTAACTTTTTTTCTGACAAAAGAGTAGTTCAGCAGCCTGACTCAAAATCCCTCCTTCTTCTTGGCTCAGCCCTTCATCATCCCTCTTTCATGCCCTTGGTTCTTCCAAAAAAAGTCCTACTTTTACTGTCCAAACCAGGCAAAGTTGCATGTTTAAATAAATCGCTTTTTCCTTTGTAGCTCACAATTCCTTTTGAAATAAAAAGTTTGAGGTTTGATGGAGATTAATGGTTCTGAATTAGTGGAATTACTAAACTTCCAATTCTTCCTCTTGTACCAGTTCAGTTAAAGCAATAAGAGTCTGTTTCCAGGATAAATGAGATGCTGAGTTGAGGGGAAGGCAAAGGACAGAAAAATGTTCTGCAGGATGGAAAAGCGTTTATTTTGCATGGGTCTTAGCCTAATCCAACACACATGGAAGTTTTCCTGTTGAATTTGATGAGCTTTTAATATAGTTGCCAGAGGATTTGTATTCCTTTGCCCAGTCTGGCTTCTGCTTCCCCTTGGCCTGCAGCGGTGCAGGTTTGCCCTGGGCAGGCGCTCGCTCACGGTGCCGCCCCCCAGGCTTTCCTGCCTCTGTCACGCTGCCCCCAATGAACCCCTGGCTGCCAAGGGGATGACTCGCTCCATGTTGTTCAGTGGTGTTTATTTTTCATTACAGAATGGCTTTGGTTCTTTTAGATGGCTCTAAGTTATCCCTCCCGTTGGTGTAAGCGAGTTCCTAATTTCCCTTTCTCCCCTGTGCGGGTTTGCCTGCGTAGGTGTCGGCCACGGCCGCCTGGGACTCCTCGGTGCACGACTCGGTGCACCTCAACAGGGTGACTCCGCAGCACGAGAGGATCTACCTGATCGTGAAGGCCACGGTGCAGCTCAGCCACCCGGCCGCCATGGAGCTGGTGCTGCGCAAGAGGATTGCGGCCAATATTTACAACAAGCAGGTAACAGGTTCACAGTAATCTTGTGTCGCTTGCTCCCCTTAACTTCCCAAGCATCTTCTCTTAGCTGCTTGCTTCGTTTTGCATCAGTTTAGTCTCTGCTGTGCTTGTGAAAGACAAAACCCCGGCGTTAGCCTAGATTGCAGTGCACGCCTGGCGCATCGCTTCGAGCTCTCCAGTTTTCAGTTTAGTTGGTTTCAGAGTAAACTCGTGCTACCACTGCAGCAGCAGCAGAAAAAGAGTTCCAAAGAAGACCTTCTGTCTGGAATAACCTGATATTTTTTGATTCTGAGAAATTTGCAGTAGCTTATCTAATATGAGATCACTCCATTCCTGACAGTATCTTGGAATATTCAATGTAAAGGCAATGTATTCTCTTCCTTTCATTTTGCTATTCTGCTAATTCTAAATAAGGTCTGTCCCCCCCTCCCCACCACCCCTGTGTCCACGTTTTCTTCCAGCTGTTCAAAGCTGGTCTCACTTAAGGTGCTTTCTTTGGCTGCAGGAGCGGATTCTGCTCTTTATTTGCAGTGTGTGGGTTTAGGCAGCTCGATGCTTTCTGAAACCGTGTTCGTTTCCCTTTCCTAAGTGATCGAGACATTGAGACAATGTTTAAGATTTTTGGCAGGAGGAACCAAAAAAAAAAAAATGCTGTGGTATTACCAAACATCTGGTACACAGTTGAATTCTGCGCCTTTTGTATTTGCTATGTTGTCTTTTGCACATTTCATTTGTCCAAAATGTCTTATATTAAATGAAAATCAAGTTTCCTGTCAGTGATCTAAAGGGCTGATTGACAGTGAAAGAAATTAAACTTGCAGCTTATGTGAAAACTGTTTGCTGTTGCAATTATAGGTAGAAACAGAGTTGCAGAAATCAGGGTTTGCTGTAGTAAAGGAGTTTTTATTCCTGTTTAACAGTCACAAAATGAAATGTATGAGTATCAGACTTCTACAGCTGCCTTTTTCTCAGTTTTTACAAGCTTCTTTTACAGCTATTTTAAAAGCATTAGTGCAAAATGGGAGTAAATTGTTGCTGATTGGACTTGGTTAGGTTTTGTACTGAGCATGACTGGATAAAGTACACAGGTTGTAACACAGTAAAGAATGCTGAAACTGTTCTTTGGGCTGAAAAGTAACTTAGAGAATTATTGTCCTGGGAAATGCACTTTTGTGGTAAAATGAATTTTTGCATTGCCACTTCTTAGTGTCAGAAATAATCATTTTTAACATAATAATTCTAAATTACTTTGTTTCTAGAGTTTTACCCAGAGCCTGAAAAGGAGAATATCCTTGAAAAATATATATTATGCCTGTGGAGTGACCTACGAAATAGTATCCAATATCCCAAAGGTAAATTAGACCATATTTCTCTGGCCAGTTCACTGAAACACAGAGAATGACCAAAGAGAGTGGGAGATGCTGACTGGGAAGTGCATATTTGGTATTGCTGGAGGAATCTTGCCCAAGTTGTACGTGGTGAGCTCCTGTATTAAGTAGCAGCAATTTTGAAACGACATTGGTGTTTAAAGGGGGAATAGAGAGGCTGCTCTAAAGCAGATATAGGTCAATGACCTGGAATAGCTGGAAAGATTAGTTTGACGGCAGTATAAATATCTCTATATACACGACTTGTGCAAATTTAAACTTCTAAAACTGATTTTAAAGGTAAGCAGTCGGGCCATTGGAAACATAAGTAGGTTGGTCACTGTGTGCTTGTCACTGCAGTTTGGGAAGGAAGCTGCTCATTCATTGCTAACGTAGGAGGCTGCAGGTTGAGTTCTCCTCATTCTTAAAGGAGATTGACTGCAACAAATGTACAAAACTAGCCCAAGCTTGAGCTCCTCTTAGTTCAGCATGATCGCTACCTGCCTTGAAAAGTCTCTGCTCTGTGTAAGGATTATGGAATCAACTTAATTTCCGGGATTAGATGGTCTAAATAAAAGAATTAACACATTCCAAAGATTAAAAGCAGGCTCTAAATTAAAGAGCTTAATAGTGCAACTTACAATTTAGGCTACAGAAGAAATTGAGGATCGTGAGACCTTGGCGCTGATGGCTGCGAGGAGTGAGAACGAGGGGACGTCTGATGGGGAAACCTACATGGAGAAATACACCCGGGGCGTCCTGCAAGTGGAGAACATTTTGAGCCTGGAACGACTAAGGCAGGCAAGTATCAGGCAGTTAAAACAGGCAACTTTAAGAAATGTTTTTATTGTGATTTGTAGAGATACTTGATGTTTTTGATTTTAGAATATTAGATATGGGAGGTTTGGAAGGCTGCCTTTTTTGTTTTTGTTTGTTTCTGTTTTTTTAAGAGAGAGTGAACGCAAATATTGGCCAGGTAAATGTATCTGTGCTCCTGTGAAACAGCTAAAGCCCAACACTGGTGAATCCACTAACTCCAGCTAGTGGGAGCTTAATAGAGAGAACCTGAAAAAACAAGGGCCACAGAATGCCAGTTTTGTATGTGTAAATTAAGTTGTGTAAATATATAAACCTTGTTTGCAAGTAGCTGCAATTAGCCCTACTGTGAGAAAAGCCTCTACCCTGCTGATGGCTTTGCAGGAGGATGGTGGTAAGTTGCCCAGCTTTGCTAGGAGTGCATCCTTTAAGGTGCCTTTCTCCACGCAGGCAGTGACAGTGAAAGAAGCCCTGTCCACCAAGGCGAGGAACATCCGCCGGAGCATCAGCTCGCCCAACGTCCACAACGTAAGGATCATTTCTGTGCTCTCATAACGCGGTGCTAATCTGCTCTTTTTTGTCTCTGTGCATATGCGGGCACGCTTGCGTGCTGAGGTAATATGTAATTGTTGCCATCCATCCCTTGTGTATTCTAGAATTAATGCAGCCACTATAGAAATGCTGGCCCAAGTGGGAATGACTCAGAGGGATCATGGAGGAGAAACAACTCCCCACAACTCTCCATCCTACAGGATTACAAAGGGAGAGGGGTGGTGTGGGGAAAGTGTGGGCTAAACTCTTCTCCATTTAGAAAAAAAGTAGTTGTGGAAGTAGTTCAGGTTCCTGGCTGCCCTAATCCAGAAAGCTTTTGCTTTGGTTTTTAAAAGCCCTATTTTAATTTTTTCCCTATATAAGGGCTAGTTTCTGCTTTATGTATATTTTGTGAATGTATTTTGTACTTTGTGAATTCACCTGTCACCCGCTCAAACCACACAAATGTTGCTCTCCTTACAGTGTTAAGCGAAAACAAAATATAATGTTTGTTAGGACTAAAGAATCAGAGCATCTCCTCAAGGCCTTATACTTTAGGAATACAAGCTAGGCATTTTCTCATTCTGCCCACGGGTGTTTTGTAGGTGTCCTGCAGCCGATTAGATCTTTCTGCCTGTGATGAAGATGACAAGGTAAGCAAATTTCAGAGCTCATAAAAGTGAGCAGCACACACTTTCAGTGTTTATCTCTTAAGACATATTTGAGGTTTGGGGGAAAAAAGAGGGGTTTTTTAAACTGTTTATTTAAATAATACAACTGCTAAATGCTGTACTAATAATATTTTGCATTATACCTCTTTTTGTCCTCCTCTACCCTTCATGTTAGGACTGTAAAAGCTGACAATTAAGAGGAAGTGGGAAACAGACAGGAAAACCTAATATATTTCACTAAATCTTATTCAGTCCTAAATAGTCACATGAGACAAAACTGTTTCAAAGTTGCAGCTCGTTAGCTGTCTAAAAACAGAGCCCCATGTCTGCATTTCAGAATATTTCAGAATATTTCAGAATATTTAAGGTTGGAAGGGACCTCTACAGATCATCTAGTCCAACCTTCCTGCTCAAGCAGGCACACCTAGAGCATGTGGCACAGGGTGGCATCCAGGCGGGTTTTGAAGACCTCCAGAGTAGGAGACTCCACAACCTCCCTGGGCAGCCTGTTCCACTGCTCTGTTACCCTAACAGGAAAGAAGTTGCTCCTCACCTGGAGACGGAACTTCTTATGCTTCAGTTTGTGGCCATTACCCCTCGTCCTATCGCTGGCCACCAGTGAGAACAGCCTATCCCCTTCCTCCCTGCATTCTCCCTTCCTGAACTTATACATATTAATCATATCCCCTCTGAGCCGTCTCTTCTCCAGAGAAAAAAGGCCCAGCTCACTCAGCCTCTCTTCATACGAGAGATGTTCCATTTGTTCCATTTGCCTATTAATTTCTCCATGTTTGCCTATATCAGAGTGTACATTTGTTTTTTTGTTTCTTAGGGTTGGTCTGAAAGTCACCTAGATATATCTGACTGTTCTTCCAGTTACCAAGATGTTTCATGCTATGGTACTTTACCCAGGGAGTCCGCACGCAAGAACAAGGATGGCAGTGGTGAGACTGTCAGATACACCTGTGATGACCTTCCTCTTAAATTGCTTAAATTGCTGTTGGGCTGGAAAGCACATTCCTGCCACTCAAAATTGGAAACCCAGTCCTCAGTGCTCTTTTTTCCTCGTAAATACATTATCCAGCTTCCTGCTTTAGCAGCTGAACTTAATCTGGAAACAGATGGGAAAAGAGAAGTGCATAAAGACATGCAGGAAAGGATGAGAAATTGGGGTGCCAAAAAATAAGAGAAATAAACTAGATTGGAAATGAAGCAAAAATGGAAATAAAGGAATTACTGTAAGCTTATGAATTTGAAAATGAACTCTTATCAAACGGAGAAAGACTTTTTATGGTTTTCTGGCACCATTTGGATATTTGGTCTTGCACATCAGTGTGTCACAGGTGCTTTGCTTGCTTTTGGTCAGCTTGTAGCAAGATGTTCCTGAGCAGGCCACATAGAGAAGTGCAGAAGCAGCGAAGAGGGAAGAAGAACTTCTTCTTTGCTGCTTTGCCTCTTATTTTCCTTTCAGTCACACTGATGTTCAGGCCACGTCCTGCTGTTTTTATGTCTCCAATGAATAGGAGAAATGGGGGAGCCTTGGGATGCAGGAGGCAGATACTGCTGCTCTCTGATTTCCTTCTATTTCCAGACTCCCCAAAGGGACGTAGTTTCCCCTCGTAGAGCTCTACAATATCTCATCCTTGGACAGTGGCTGAATGCTGCAATATTGCCTGATACTCTGTAGCCATCTGCGTTACAAATGCATGGCTCCTTTACTATCAATTTAGATTATTCTGTTGCGGTTAAGATGTGAAGAATTGAATAAGCTATGTGTCTATACATATAATTTTGTTTCTAGGTGTCGTATCAGAGAATTCCCATGCTTTAATGGCAAGTCCCTTTAAAGCATTTTCTCCTCAGCCACCAAAGTTTTTCAAACCATTAATGCCCGTGAAAGAGGAACATAAAAGAAAGACCCCACTTGAAAGGCGACCTCTGCTTAGTCAAGAGGTAATTTTTTTGTGAACAACCTTGTTTTTATGGACATATTTATTTTGTGTGCTTGGAAAATGGCTTGCAGCATGCAGCTTCCACAAGAAGCCTTTGTAATTCTCTGCCAAAATTAATTAGTTTGCAGATTTTTGTTTCCTATACCCTTTTTTAATATCTGCACCACTAGGCTTGTTTCACTCGGGCTCTTTCTGTGTGGGGCGCCTGTGTTCTACTCTAACAGCCCTTTGCATTTTCCTCAGCAAGAGGCTGATGTGTCTTGTCACTGCAGACAGTAGCTCTGTCAGAGGGCGCTCCAGGCCGCCCGCAGTTCTGACCTTTCTTCCTCGTCCCAACGCGCTGTCGAGAGCCCTGCACGAGTTCCTGCCGCCCGGTTCTGCGCACCCCGCGCGCTGCCCTTGCACCGCCCTGCCGCCCGCTAACCCACACGCGCCCCGCGTCGTGGCGTGTTCGCCGTGTCCCAGGCTCTGCGGAGCGCGCCGGGGCGCCGGGCCCGCGGCACGGGCTGCGCGGCGGCCGCGCCGGGCAGGGCGAGCGGCCAGCAGCAGAACCCTGTAAGAGCTGCCGGGGGCTTCGGGCTGCTCCGTGCTGGGGTAAGGGAGCGAGAGGGGCTCCGCGCACCTAATCACTGCGATTGACGCTAACGGCTGTAATGAGCAGATGCTGCCTGGCTTGTGGATGCGGTCCGTGACTGGAAACAACTCGGCTGATTTCCTTGATTCATGTGGGATTCTTTTCCTGCAGGAATGGGGAGGGAGGGGATGGGAGGCTCTAATAGAGCGCACAAGCAATCCAGGAGCAGGGGGGTGGGTGAACGCTGCTGCTGTCCCTCTAACGTTACCTGTGTGTGTTACCCAGATCTTGTGACTATGCCCCAGAGTAAATGGAATGGCCCCGCGTGGTGTAAGTAACCGTGTGCCGAGGTGTGAGCTCCCCCAAAAGCTTCTGCCTGGCTGGTGTGGAAGCCGTACAGCTAAAATGAGGTGGCAGCTCTTGGCTACTGGGTGGCCTGTCCCCCCCGGCCGGTGCTGCGCTGAGGTGGAGGGTTTCTGACTTTCCTGCCCCCCTGTCCAACGCCCTCCTCGCTGCCGCTTCAACAGAAGGTCATCACTTCTGCGCTGGGGAAGGCTCCTTCTAAGGGCTGCGGAGCTTGGCTGTAAATATTGGCTTTAATCTGAGCTTTGGACTTCAAATTTGGAACCTTGAAATGATTTCTCTTAAGAGCTCTCTTAAGATTTCTCTTATAGGCCTCTTATCACACAAAGGGCCCCTAATGGGCCCTTCCAATTCAGCAGCTTCATTCTGGCCATATAGCCAAACAGCTGAGAAATTTCTCGTTTCTCCTGATGCCACTTTGTAGAGGATAACAAAGTATCCGAGGGCTCAGTGCTCACACTCAAGCTTGTCTTCTGTCCGGATAGCAGCTGCTCTGTGCTCCATCCCATCCCTTTTCCATTGTGTGGGTCCGCACGTCAGCTGAGTCACGGTACCAAGAGCGGTATTCAGCATCAGCTGAGTCACGGTACCACAGGATTTTCCAAGGCAAGATCTTTCAGTTGGCTGAAAAGCAGCCTACAGAAACTGAATTGCTACAAACACATCCATAGCATCTCCAGAGCTGTTTTGCCCTCTTGAGCTAAAGGAGGGTCCCTGGGCACCTGGCACGGCCTGGGCTGCAGCCTTTTGCTGTGAGATTTGAAGGCTCCGTCGTGTCCTTCAGAGCTGGAGTGAGTGCAGATCTTGACCAGGCTGGAGTTTTACTGCCCACGTGCGGCTGAAGGGCAGTGTGGGGGCCCCACATGGAGGGGCCTCTTCCCCCTGCCGGACCCACGGTGCTGAGGGATGCTCTGAGCAGCCCCTGTGGGGCAGGGAGCTGCTTGAGCGCAGCTTCGGGCGCTGCTGCTTGGCGCTTGCAGCTGCTGGATTGCACCGGGATTGAAAAATGCACTAGAAATAACCAAGTGACTGAGCAGAAAGCTGGTGGACTTAACTGGGCTAATGCTCTGCATCCAAACAGGCATGAGCGTGGGGTTTGCCCTTATCTTGTGTTTATCTGGAATGTGTCCCTTGGTGTTTGCAAGGCGGCTGTGAAAGGGTTAAAAGCAGAACTAAAGCTGTTAACAGAAATGTTTGTCCTTTTGCTTGGCCTAAAATACGGCAGCCACCCTACAATTCCAGCATTGCTCCCGTTTGTGCTGAATATTGCAAGTGTTTCCGAAGAGCAGCTTGGCGCAGAGGCGCGCGGCGCCGTGTGCCTAGGGCGCCCGGCGTTGGGACCGGAGCCGCGTCCTCACCCGGAGCGTGTGTGAGCTCGCCTGTCGTGAGCGCGTCCCGAGCTCGTCTGCCTGCTCAAGGCTGTGGAAAGGGAAGCGCCTGCGGTGCAAGCGCTGAGCAGTCGGCACCGCTCCTGCCAAACAGCGGGACAGCAACTAGTGTCCTGGAGGCTACTCCAGAGCCCTAGTTTAGGGATCTGACCTGGATGCTTTAACTTCTCGGTTAGCTACAAAGACGTGTTTGTTGTCGAGCAGCTGTAGGTAGGAAAGCCTCCGTTTGCCTAGTTCTGCCTTAGCTTGTGTACTATTAAATCACTATTTGCAGACTTCTGTCCTTGGTTCTTGCTGTCACCTTCTTCCCCTTATCAGTTGAGCCTGTGTTTTGCTGAAGTCTTTCCGTGGCTTCCCAGGGAAGTGGCTGCAGCTTCATTGCCAGTTCGTCAAGGATTTTATTCTTCTAATCTTCGGTTCTTCCTCTGGCCTCAGCAGTATAGGAAAGTTTTCTTTTCTTTTGTTTTTCTTCCCTCCCTCTATATCCACTGGATTTACAAACCCCCTGAAGTTACTTTATTTCTGCCTTTTTCCCCTCAGGGAGCTCAGAGGAAGCTCCGAAAGCAGCACCGTTTCTTCTCTCGTCGCGTCCCGTTTGCTGCGTTCTCGGGAGCCGGGTTCCAGCAGTGGGGCCGCGTCTCGAGGCTGCCTCTGCAGCAGCCTTCATGATAGAGGGGCTGAAACCCTCCCCGGCTGCCCCATGGCTGCCCACGAGGTTTCTCTGCCACGTTGCCACGAGCTGCGTGTCTGTAGAACCACTTAGGGTTGGTGGTGGCTCCTGCTCATGTTCAGCAGTCTGTGTGAAGCTTCACAGCACTGGGCCCTTCTCCCCAGAGATACAAGTCGCTTCAAAATAACCCCTTCATCCAAACCTGCTTATGAGAAATAACTCTGAGAGGGAGCTGTAAAAAGCACTAAGCAAAGGATGCTAAGCTTATGTCTGAGCAAATACTAATGGTCTGAAATCTGTTTGATTTGTCAGAGGCACTTGGGAAGTAAAGTGTCCTGTTCAGAGGCCCGTTGCTGTGCTAACAAAGATGTAACGTGATGATCTCGGCTTGAGAGGCAATTCTGTGTGCGTGAGCTAACTGAGTTTCAGCAATTACAGGCTCTCTGCATAGACAGGAAAGCACAAGAACCTGAGGTTTGGGGGAGTTTTCTGAAAACGTCATAAAACACGGAAGGGAAAATCAAAGGGAAGTTTTGGTAGCTGAAAGTGCCCTCGCAGAGTGGACTCTCTTGCCATAAGGCAAATCACTGCAGCCGTCTCTGTCATCTTTTTCCTCATCTGTAAAATACTTTAAATATTTTCTTCACTTAAAGAGCATCGAGCACAGTTGTTACAGTCAGTGAGCCTTTGGATTGGGAAGTCCAGAGAGCACCAGGAAAAGGCAATGAGTAAATAAGGCGGTGGTAACGAGGCAGAGGGGCACGGTTGAGTTCCGCTCCTTCGGTCGACTTCCAGGCGAGGGATGGGCGAGTTCGGCAGGACCCCTGCAAGCAGCTGCCAGCGCAAACGGAAGCAGCTTCATAAAGCAGCTCCAGGATAGATATCCTAAATCATGATTTAGGATACAGATGAGCTCATCTTTAACTGGATGCTCCAACCAATGTTATAGCTAGAGGGGAAGTCTCATTGGTGGTGCTGAAAGCTTTTCCAATTTCTCTGGTTGAGCCAGTTGGTCTAATAAGGACCTTTGCCTGCCAGCTTGGTCCTGTGCACATCCTTAGATCATCACAGACGTGCCAGAATACTGTGACTGAAATGGCGTAAGAGTGGAAGTCTGTGCTTAAAAAAAAAATAACCAAGCCTTATGTAAGGGGAGAAAAATGTCTGTATGCATCTGCTCTAGCATTAGACCAGAGGGTGGCCTGTAGCACAGAAGAGCAGGTGCTGTGTCTGCAATAGGCTGTTTAGTTCAAGAGAAGAGTAGGTCGTTGCAGAGATTCATGTTACGCACAGAAAGGATGGGGGAGTCTTGGATCTTACGCTGTGTATGAAACAATCGCCATCCCTTTTCCAAAGGGATGTTTATCCTGAGTTCCATCTCCTGGTTCTGCAAATACATTGCTGGCTGGTCACAGGCTGTGCTTTTTCTTCAGTGATCACTGGTGGTTGGTTTCTGCGAGCAGGGAACTGCTCTGGCTACCCCTTTTTCCTAACGAAATTATCCAGGAAGGTTAATGTTTTTGAAACCTCAGTGTTGTAAGTAGCTAATGCCACCTGACTCTCTCTTGCAGGACTCTGAGGAGGAAGACAGCGAGTTGGAGGCCATTAATAAGAAGTTAAGCCCGCAGGGTTTTCCAAGTTTCCGGCCTTACGTCCCAGAGGAGTTTGCCGACTTCAGTGTTTACAATGCTAGCCTGGAGCACAGGGAATGGTATTCCTCTAAAACGGACTTCGTGAGTTCGCGTGCTCTTGACAAAGAGGTATCCCGCAGCCCCACCACGAGCAGTATCACTAGCGGCTACTTTTCGCACAGTGCCTCTAACGCGACTCTGTCTGACCTGCTTGTTCCCTGTAGTGATAGCACAGAGCAGCTGGCCGCTCCCGCCAGGGAGCTGCTGGAGCCCGGCGACTCCCCGGCACTGCCCCTTGCCCACGAGCTCAGAACTCCTCTCACCAAGGAGCTGGCAGAGCCAGAAAAGGAGCTAGTGACTGCCAAGGTGCCCGCGTCGCCGCTGAAACCGACCAGTGCCTTAACGGAGCAGCCCTGCCTGTGCCGCAACGCCGCTAACACTGACTCCCCGCAGTTCCCCGCAGCCGCAGCGCTCTCAGCGTTAGGTTCCTCCAATGACAGGAGTCCCTGTGGTACCGTTGAGTTTTCCACGCGTGAAGCGACCGTTGAGCACACAACAGACATCCTGGAAGACCATTCCTTCACCGAGTTCATGGGCGTCGAAGACGGAAAGGACTTGGAGCACTCGACAGCTCCTCCAGGCTGTCCCGGCGCCGCCTCCAACGGGGCGAGCGGCTCCGGTGGGGAGCAGAGCGCCCACCCGGGCCCACCGGGCTCCGCAGATCCCGGCGGCGGTGCCGCGGGAAGCCGTGAGGAGGCCTTGGAGCCTCGGAGTAGCCCGGAGGCTCCCACGCTTGACTTCCTCGGGAAGGATCCTTTGGATGCATCTGATGGCGAGGAAGGTGCCCCCACGGATCAGGCCCACGTCCTGCCCAGCTGGGTGGCAGTGGGTGAGCAAGTTTGTGTTGGAAGTAATAAGATGGGCACGGTGAGATACATCGGACCGGTGGATTTTTCAGCTGGAATCTGGATTGGCGTCGAGCTAAACGTTCAGCTGGGTAAGACTGAACGTGCTCCGCGCTCCTGGGGGCACCCGGGGCCTAGCTTAAGGTTTCACCACAATCCTGCGCTCCTCAGGGCTGGGAAATAAATAAAACAAAAATCTCCATCTTACCTTGGCATCCGATGCATCGGTTTTCTGGGCTTTCTGTTTATAGAGGTGCTTTGATAAAAAGAGTTATTTTCCAAAACTCTGTCGGAAAGCCCTATTTTCCTTATGTTGTGCAGAATAATGCTTTCTTTTGAGTGGCAGTTTCCATCAATACCCATTTATTTATTTACAGTAATGGAAAAAAAAACACCTAAAACTGGCAGATACTTTGACCAACATGGGCAGGGCCAATAGTGGAAACTGCAATAGCTTGTCAGATTGCACGGCTGCCTAGAGCTTTCACAGAGATTTTATTTAGTTAACTAATTTATTTTTTACTTGAGGGAAGCTTAGTAATTGAGCATAATGTTTAAACTACAATTTGATGGAATGAGAAGAGGAATCGTGGCACTGTGAGAGTAAGTTTCCTGCAACAAACACTCTTTACAAGTGCTCCAAACAAAAGATCTTTAGAGAAGGGGGTATTTGTAGTGGTTTAGTAGCTTCCAGCACTGCTGAAATTTTAGCTAAGTTTTGAACGTAACAAGTCATTGTTTTTTGAGCTTGACAGATTTCTTTGATAAAACGAACAAAGTTTGAGCTTCTGAGCTTTAGTTACCCAAGTAATATTACAGGGATCGTCTTTGGGTCACGATTCAAACCCAGCTGTGCAGGTTTGCCCTCCCTCGTGTGTTTTACCATTCTGGTTCCCCGCTCAGAAGCAGGGCCCAGCCGCAGGCGGGGATGTTAGTGCTGTAGCTGTAGGCTCCGGGTGCCGGCCGGTGCCCCGCGATTAATCCCCGCTGTGTTTCCTCCCGCCGAAGGGAAGCACGCCGGGACGGTGCGAGGCCGCGAGTACTTCCAGTGCAAGCCGCGACACGGCGTCTTCGTGCGGCCCGGGCGCCTCCGCCGAGCGCCCGCCGGCGCCAGGAGGGCGAGCGGCGCTGGCCGCCCGCAGGCGCCCGCCGCCCCGGAGAAGCGCCGAGGATCCCTGCCCCGCGGCTCCGTGCCCACCGCCAAGCCCGCCGGAGACGCCCTCTGGCACTCGGGAGATGCGGCCGCTTCCGCCTTCTCCAGGAAGCAGGAGAACAGGAGATCGTGGATTAACTGAACGGCAGTATTTTTGCACTTACTACACACAGCGCTGTGTGGGAAACTATGGGATTTTTTGAAGCTATTGTACATTTAAATCTGTCCGTACCGAATGTGTACTCTCTAGAGTCTTTGACCTAATTCCCTTATTTTTTATAAATAATATATATATTATATATATGAATGTGTATCTGTAGGTTGTCTGCCGCTGGCAGATGGGGCTGCACACTAAAATAGAGTTAAAGCTGATCTGTAGATAACCGAGGTACGGGACTGTTTGTTACACCACAACTTGGGAGATATATTTTAAACAACAAAGAAAATATTTTATTGTGGAAAAACAGGATGTAAATCCCTATTTGGAGAAAAAAAACAAACAACACTACGGTTTGCTGTTCTTAATTACCAAAGAACTTGTTTCAGACTGTCACGTTTGCTGTTTGTATCCTCGCGTGGTCAGTGTTTTGCCTGCAAGCTGGGTGCCAAGTAGCCTCCCGCGCGCGGGAGCGGCCGGCTGCTGCGTGTCCTCTCCTCTCCGTGTGGGGAGGAGAGGACGGCCCCGGGGGGCTCAGCTTGGGGGGCTTCTGTGCTCTGGTTTTGGTGGCGGGGGGGAACTGTGGGAGACGAAGCAGCAGCAAATGGATCGTGACTGCAGACTTTGCACTTGTTACTTGCTGGTTGTTATCAAGGTGAAGTAGAACCTGCTCAAGTAATCTTAATCTGTAAAGTTTATTTTAATAGTGGGAATAATGGAGGGATTTGTGTGTGGTGCTCACGAATTCCTAAGAAGGTTGTTCCACGTGTAGATACTGTAGATGCCTGTACAAGTCGTTCTGGATATTTGTAAAGTAACACGGTGAAAATGGGTGACGTGAGTGGCCTGCTGTATCTGTCCTGTGTTCCCTAGCCAGTGAATGAGTGAGATACCTGGGACCTTACTGAAAAGCTGCTGTTTGTTCTTTGATTGTTGTGTACAGTAAGCGGACTCTAGTATTTTGCTATTTACTGTAAAGAACTGTAATTTATATACTGCCATACTGTATTTAATTGGTACAGACCTTTTGTGTGTTAGAATACAGACTGTTTACTTGGGATTTTAAAGAAAATGTTCTGCTTGTATTTGATACAATGAGGTTTCATTATGAAACACTCGACTTCATCCTGTCACTGGTTTATGATGCTCAGATTCAAGGCGCTTTGCGAGGGCACCCAAGGGAGCTCCGAGGGGGAGGCTGCAGGGCCAGCGCTCCAAGGGGGAGGCTGGAGGGCCGGCGCTTGGGGCAGGGGAGGCTGGAGGGCATCGCTCCCTGTAGCGCTGCCCGGAATGAGTGTGGGCCGCTTCCTGAGCTGCTGCTCTCCCTGCCTTGGTGCGCGGGGCAGGGGAGCTGGGCAGCTCCTGCAATGTGGGGTGTCCATGGAGGGCAGCCTGGACACGTTCCTAGGACCGGGGTGTGTTACTAAATGCATCAAGCAGTGGCCCAGCAGAGCAGAGTTGGCAGCTGGGGGCGGAATGAAGCGCATTTGTCCCTGAGGCACCTCTGGCAAAGCGCCCTTGCCTGCCTGCGGGCCTGGCCCTGCTGGAGCAAACTGCTCTGCTCATCGTGGAGGTGCTAGCTCAGGGCTGCTCTCCCTGCACGCGTGACACTGCTGCTGCAGGAAACCACCCCAAGGGAAGCAGTGCTGAAACCGGGTGAGCTGGGAACTGCAAGCATCCACGCTCAGCCCCCTGAGTGTGGGAAATTAGCTCTTGTGCTCGCTTTGGTCATCCTAAAAATACCCTCGCGCAAACCTGCACCCATTCAGCCTCTTCTCACATACTCAGCTGTGTTCTTGGAATAAACAGTTTGGAGAGTTACTGGGGCCCTTTCCTTATGGCAAAGGTGCGTGTGTGTGTGTCTGTACCCACCTGGCACCCTACGCACAGAAGCACTGCAGTCACGGTGCTGCTTTGGCTGTGCCGTTGGTAAGTGCCAGAGCAGCCCGAACAGTCCGGCCTGTTTGTGCTGTGCGCGTCCGGCATAACCCCACGCTGCCGTGGCTGCCCTTCCTGAGACGCCGCTGCGGCTGTGAGCTCTCCAGGGTAGCGTGTCCTGTCTGAGGTGAGTTTGTGGGTAGGAAGAACTCACCTAATGGGAACAATGCAGCCTTGTGGAAAAGGCGGCATTTTATTTGATTTGCTGCTCAAACTTTGTGGCCTAAAGAGAGAAGCTTTTTCTCTATGAGCGACGTTTGAGTAATAGATTGGTGTTGAATGTCATAATCAACTGAAGGATGCGGTGAATTTTGGCCACAGCCATTCCCAACTGCCAGTAGTTTCTCTTTGTTTTTATAAGATATTATCATAACTATGATCTAACATGCATTGTCTAATGAGCCCGATTCACAATCTGTGCTAAGCCCTCAGTTTAAAAGTAAACCAGCCCCAACCGTAATACTGAACAATACGGCAGAAATCCAGCCTGTCCTTTATTGGAGCTGGCAGAACAAACCTGTCACCTCAGTGAATGGGTTAACCCAAACAGTGTTGCGTTATGTTAATCATCAAGATGGGTATGGTGTTAAATTAGATGGCACTGACCTTTCAGCTTTCCTTCCAAGCTGCACGCTTGAATGGAGAGTCAGGGAACGGGAACAGCTGGGGTGCCCCAAGAGGCAACTGCTTCTCCTCGCTTCCCGTATTCCCTGCAGCTGAAGACAGAGGTTAAGATGCTGTTAGGTGAGTAAAGAGCCTCCCCGTGAACAGTGCAGCAAACACAGAGCGGGCTGCAAAGCGCCGGCCCGGCCGCTCCGTGTGACCGCGTGTCTCTAACGGCCCCCGGTCCCTCTGGCTCCCTAATCAGAGGCTGCTCGGGGCTCCTGCCCCAGGGGCAGCCCCTGCATTTCGGTCTGCCCTCTGCGGGGTGCACGTTTTGAGGGACCTGTTCTGTTGTCGAGCTGCTGGTCTGAAATAGTCAAAACAAGAAAATCTCTCTGATAGCTCAGATTTATTGCGAAGAACTGAAGACACTTAAACAGGGGGAAGGGCAGAGAAGGAAAGAGGAGGGATGAAAGCAATTGCTCTGTCACTCCTACAAGAAAACAAGTTAAAAACAGCTGTTCTCATAAAAGCTGTGCAAGTGGAAGGTGGAAGCTTTATTCTATTTAATGCTGTTTTTAAGGCTGTGAATGCCTTGGTGGTGTTGGTAACATGGTGTGCAGAGGCCATGGTGACTGACATGCAAACTGTTAGTGCTGCGCTCAGACTGCTCAGGAGAAGCCGCACCTTTCCAATACGCTTGTGCGTGGCTCGGTGGCACGTGTCACCGCACAAGCGCCTGGGCCAGACAAGCGCGGGGCAGTGCTCGGGGGTCAGCCCTGGTGCCCCTGCCGTGACTTTTCTGTCTTGCCTTGGGGCTGCCCGCCCTGCAGCCCTGCCTGAAGCCAGCGGTGGCCCCTGCCCCGTCCCTCTGCGGTGACGGCTCGTTGGGGTGTGAGACCCTGCCCCGCGGCCTTGTACTTGCTTACAGAACGTGCAAGCGGGGCCGGGTTGCACACGGTAAGGACGGGGAGCGCGAGTCCATGCTTTGCGAGAGGAACGGCGATGCAGCGTTGCGTAAGTCCGTTCGGCGGCGCCGGGGAGCGCCGGGGAGCAGCCGGGGAGCAGCCGGGGAGCGCCGGGGAGCAG